GTTGGAATTTTACCTGGATAATCATGAGCTTAATGGATTTCACTCTTACTTTTTCCAGACTTCTTTAGAAGCACTTCTTTATTCCAAAGCCTGACATTAAATCTTCTCTGCAGTGGTTTTTTTGTTAATGAACTTTTTTGTAATAAACATTTATGATCATTAAATTACAGTATAATTCCCCCATGTTTACGAAGGGTTATAGGCAAATGTCATAAATTGATAAAATCAGTTAATAAAATAACTTAAATTTGTCTCTCTGTGGGTAGGTGTGTGTGTGCATGCATCTACACACTAAAATTACATTAAGCTGCATGTGTTTAGTGTACTGCATAGTGTATGTGCCCTTCCGTGTGTTCGTCCGATTGAATGAAGTAATGTACAGTACTCAGTTCCTGTAGAAGCATTTTTATTTTTTTCAAAGCAGCAGTGAAAATGAAGTTGTTTTTCCAGCTCCCAGTGGACATCCTGAGGTGATGGTGTGATGCTACGTGTGCCAGTAACCTTCAGTATTTTATTCTCTCTCTCTCCCCCCTTTATACCTCTTCTTCTTTCCTCTACGACAGAGGGTGAGTTTGGAGTTTTACATTGATGTCCATGCCCACTCCACCATGCTGAATGGCTTCATGTATGGCAATGTGTTCGAGGATGAGGAGCGTGTCCAAAGACAGGCTGTCTTCCCCAGGCTGCTCTGCCAAAATGCCCCAGACTTCTCCTTTGTAAGTCACACAAATAAACACAAAATCACCAGGAAGGCAATACCAACAGCCTCTTTTTTTTAGCAAAGGTCTGAACCTCACATAACCTCACTGTGGTCAGGTCAGACTGATGTACACCGACTGCTGCACATAAATCCATAGAAGTAAAGACTGTGACTGCAGGCATAAAAAACAACAACTGACAAAAACAGCTTAAATGCACATGACAAATCATGTGAATAGAATCAAAACAGGTGTAAAAACACTTTGCGATAAAATCATCATAGAATTTTTTTTTCTTTAAAAAGTAAAAATTGAATGTGTGGATCTAGGAACACTGCCTCCCAGTAAAGTTTATCCACTTCATCAAGAAAGAGTGAGAAAGGAATGCCTTCCTGAGTGGTGTGTAGCAGCTAACAAGAAGTGAAATGGTATCCTGTTGACCTAAATGAAGTAGATCACCTTAAATTTGCCAATGACTGCAGTTTTGTGAGAGATAATGAAAAGTCATAGCCTCTGTCTGCTCCATTTCAAGTAGTAGAAGCAGTAGAAGTAGCAAGACCATGGTCCTGAAAGTCAATGCAAAGTGGAATGACTAAGCAGATGCTGAAAAAAGCCTGGTTTACAAGATTTACAAAAGGTACACCTTTATGATACACCACCAAACAAAAGTGTCCCAAAATGTACAATTTACTTACTCAGTGTGGCGCCTGTTTAGTTGAACGTTGTGTTCAGCTGATATACTTGCACGAATTGACGAAAGACAAACTCGAAGAAAGTTTTTATAACCATATGCTGCCACCTGGTGGAAGGGTAATTAATCCTCCGATCTTAAATGATTTACAGTAATTAAATAATACTTACTCAGTGTCCAGTGTTTATCATTTGCTCGTACACCTCATTCACACAATAACAGCACAAAAAGTTCTCTGTCGTGTCCCAGCTGAGTATCTGCTTGTGCAGGGGAAAAGCCAGAGATAACAGTGACCTTCACTGTAATGAATGAACCTTTCTATCTCCTTGGCCTACAGCCACTCCATACTCAGCACTCATATTCATATTCTGTACTAGGATCGCACGTGCTCTGCAAACATGTGTCTTAGCTGGCTAAACTTTTTGATAGATGTGTTTTGCTAGTAACTAGAGCATACAGTAGGCTTATGGTACACTTTTATACATGTCACCCTACCAGTACAGGTTGAAGAGTCGGAGCTAAGGGTAAATGTGTCAGATGGTGTCACTTGTACAACTAAAAAACACGACTCCTAGCTTAGTGGGTTTTTTTTTTTTTACTTTTTGGGTCATTCCCCACTTTAAACAAGTGGAGAGTTCCAAGCCTCACCTGTCTTCATCGCTCTGACAAAATCTTAACCAAGTAAAGTTCAAATTTATTGAACTAACATTAACCAACATCATAATTTAGAATGAATCAAAATCAAATGACAGGATGTTCAAAACAACTGCTCTTGTGACATCATCACTTGAACCATTGAAAGTGTGTTCCTGTTTGATGCACCCCACGTGTCATGTATCTCTTCCTCACTAGTGGGGCCCGCCCCACACTTTGAGAAGCACTGACTTAGCTAAAGGTAAAAGAAACAAATAAGAGAACCTTCCTAAATATAAAAGTATGATGGCTTCTTCAACCTGTGGACTGTACTTGTCACATCATTTCACACATCGTCACATTGTCTACCAAACTCTCCTCACCTTTAATTTCCTCACCTCTTACATACAGTATGTCATACAGACTCACCTTTATTGCCCATTGAGACTTAACCACCTTCTGTATGTCCCAAACTGTGCAGAGTGAGAGGCCGACACATTAATGTTCACCGACTGTACATTAGGGTCAGTGTCCATGCCCTACTCAGTGTCCTGAAGGTCAAACTGCTCACCCTCACCCTCTCTTCCTCTCTTACTTGTTTGCCACCCTGCCCTGTATCTGTATTACTTATGTGACAGCTGGCCCAGGGGTCATCGCCTTCACTGTGCTCTGTCCCTCTGCCCATTCAGCAGCACCTCCAGCTCAGTGCAGCCACAGCAGCAGCAGCAGCAGCATAAAACAGCACAGCAAAATCATGGATCACGGCAAACTCCCACTGCTGGATGCCACGTCTGCACTTCAGCGAGGCACCTTTTACAGCAGCAGTGTGTGTGGAGTGACAGTAAACGGAAACTTTTTCCACACTATCCCAAGACGCCGTGGTGTTTGTGTAGTATAGCTGACTTGCTTAAACCCAAAATAGACTGGAGTTCGTTTTTTTGTTTGTTTTGTTTTGTTTTCCGCATGCTGCAGCCATTTTCCGCCAAGCTTGTAATGACATTGTACAAAGTGAGTCGGTTGAAAATATATTACCCTTCATTATTTACCCCTGCATGACTTCTCTAAAAGCTTACAAGTGCAAAGTCCACAAAAACAAATCATTGCGTTGTTAGTACATTTTCACTGATGGGACCTGTCAGACCGTACTGACTGTGGCTGCTCCGTGTCATCATTTATCAACAGGCAATTGTGTGTCATTACAACACCAGCAGACAGCCGCAACAAAGTTAAATCATATTATGAGGCAACTGTTTGGTGTGCAGATGTCTATAAATATATTATTCATTATGCAGTTTGTTTTCATTTAACTTGTCAAAAGCCACTTTACTTATTGCATTATTGATTCTGGTTTCATGCAACTGGCCCAAGACCCTCAGTGTGAACTGTGGACACCATTAACAGTGGTTGTTCCTAGACTTACCATTTACCACAGACACACCCTGCTTATACTGTGTCATAATAATATAACTTTTCAGTTGTGTTAATCCTTTAATACTTTATTTTAACTCAGATTATTTTATCTCTACTACAGTCTCAAACTCAAATGAGCTGAGGGCCACGGCTGCTAATGTCATTTCACAATCAGTTATTGTCGTTCAGTTAAAAAAAAAAAGAAAAACAATATTTGGTGTATTAAATTTTAACAACTATACGATGATAGGAATAATAGTTTCCTTACACACTAAATCTATTGTATTTTTTCATCTACCTTTAGAACAACAGAGCACAATGAACTGCTTTAGAATTCATGGTTGAATTTTACTCATAGAAATTATCAATGCCAATTGATGGTTTGATTTTGATTTGAATTGATTTCTCAGTCAACATGTAGACGTCCATCAGGACCACAGTAGAGGAGCAGTTCAATAATGTTGACATAGAAAAAGTAGATAATGTACAGCTTCACCAACAGTTAAGAAAAGAGGCATCTAGAGAAGTTCCACTGTGGTCATCCACTAAAGTATTCCTTCAATAGTGCTGTTGTTACTATTCATCTTCATAAGGTATTCTACACGGCCCTTTGACCAAAACTGATGATTGATTAAAGTGGTTGTGTTAGATTGAAATGTTTCTTCTCTCTGTTTTCTTCAGTCTAACACATCCTTTAACCGGGATGTGGTGAAGGCTGGCACTGGCAGACGTTTCCTCGGCGGTCTCCTTGATGACACGTCCTACTGCTACACTCTGGAGGTGTCTTTCTACAGCTACATGACAGCTGGCAGCAACGCGCCCGTACCTTACACTGAGGAGACCTGTATCCTTCAACCTACAGGAACTGTGCTCTGGTTACTCTGCACCCTCACATATATGTCATCTTTAAACTTGATGGTGGGCATCGTGACAGCCAGTCCTGGAGGTTCCTCTTAGAAGTTAGCAGAGGCGTGTCTGTCATGGCCGACCTCAGACGGTGCTGTTGGTGTTAAAGTGATGGTGACATGGTGTCTGCTGTCTCTGTCTGACAAAACAATATGGGGAGCAGCCTTGTTCTAGGAGCTGTATCTGTATGGTAGCTTAGTGTAGGAACTTGAAACAGTTTCACACTAAAATATTTGCCTAGCAAGATTTGATTGGTCAGTGTTGCCAGATGAATAATAATTTTTCAATGACACCAAAAATGTCATAACATATGATATTTTGTGAGGCATTGATAAATTGAATGATGATTTTTAAACACTGATCTCTGAAACCTCTTGTTGGACACGTCATATGTTTACCCCCAAACCAATAATTGTTGACAAGAACACAAATAATCTTATTAGAAATTAATGAAAATGCTTCATGTTGTTATTTTACTCATGAGCCTTTTTATCCAATAGTTTTATAAATGGATGTTCCTCAAATAGCTCAGTAAACTGTTATGGAGAATCGTGTAAAAAAAATTGTAAGCTAGCCTAACTAAATGGGTTCAAGCTTAAAAATGCTGGGCATTTTGTTTTTGTTTTTTTACAAAATCTCAAATGCTCTCTGTCCCCGAGGTGCCCCACACCCTACTTTGAGAACCACTGGTCTGCGATAAGTGTAATGAGAATGAACACATTTGCATATCACACAACAATCTTCACTGAAACAGGGCGGCGCATCTTGTTTTACTTTAACAGAACTGTTTTCTTTTGTGACAGAACTCATTTGATTTACAAAGAGGACAAAAGAGGCCGGGGGTTCCTATATGCAGGGTCTTTGATTGAAGTTAACAATAGAACAAAGAACAAACATGATCATATGATGATCATGATAACTGCAATTATGCAGACACACTCAGACACAGGAATGTGTCGTATGGACCAAGGTCACCGTCTGTTTAATGGAGCCAGATGTGAGGAAGTGTTCCTTCAGCTGACCTTCTCTGGGCTGAACAGCCCCTAAGAGCCGGTCGATGAAAGTCTGATCTCAGTGATAGAGCGAATGAGAAGGTGGAAAGAGCGATTTTGAGATAGTGGAAAGGAACCTCGGACCCTACATATGAAAAGGTCTGCTTCCCGATGCTGTTGTAGTAAGGTGTGAATATAAAATAGCCCTAGTGCCCTCTAGTGCTGAGAGCTGTTATAGGTGTGTGTATATGGATGTCCTGGGTTGCATATTCAGTTATAAATGCACAGATAGTCGTCATCATGTTTTCCATATCCCATTTTTATTTGAAAAGCACTTAGTGAGTCACTCTGAGTGAGATCACCTCTGTGAAGCCTTCGTATGGAAAGACACTTATCCTGAAAGGCGAGTTAAAAGAAGTCATTTTTATGATCATTTACATTTTCATCTCCCTTCTTTTTAAAAGCCTCATGAGAGCATCTCATGCATATGTGTTTGTTGTGTCAATGTTCATGTTACCATAGAGAAAAGGGGGAGGGGCAGCAGTGGGACCTGCTGTAGAGCAGAGATTGGGGTCAGGCAGGTTGAAAGAACCAACCATGTCCCTTTTTACGCACCAGAAGTCAGCTCGATGGAGCGTGCAAATCATCAACAGAGACCTTTCAAATCTTAACGTCACCTCCCTCCACCTTTTTCACCTGACACACACACACACACACACACACACAGCGTGTATGTTTCACGTGTCAAACCCTTGCTCCTAACTCTCGTCCTTTTTCCTTTCATCCTCTCTGACTGTCCTTCAACAGTGTTGTAACTTGTAGTCACAGCTGAGACTTTTGTCAGCTTGAAAGTGCACAAAAAAGATCTAATGCCGTGTGTGTGTGTATGTGTGTGTGTGATTGTTTTGTAATATGTGTGTGTTTCCAGGTCTTTTCTTTCATTTTCCCTTTAATGTCCTGCTTCTTCTCTCCTCTATTCTGTCCTTTTCTCTCATCTTGTCACCGGGAACATAACAGCTCATTATATCATCTAGTCAAGCTGAGAATCCTCTTCTCTGAAACAGCAGGGACAACCTCTATCGAGTGTCTGTCTCTCTTTGTCCTCTAATCATTAAGCACCTCTGTTTTTGTGTCTCTGTATGTATGTGGGTTTTTTTTTCCATAAATGCCTGCACATAGATATACCTAACACACACTCATATCCTCCCTTCAGTCTCCAGGTTTATCTTTCAGACGTACAGTGTAGTGCAGTTGATTCATAAAGAACGAGAGAATCTGGGATGTTGTTCAAAACTCAGCTTGACATCACCCACTGTGTGTCTGTGTGTGTACAGTATGTGTATTTATGTAAGCTTTGGGTGTTTACTTGTTCAGGTGAGTGTGTGTGCATGCGTTTGTGTGTGTGTGTTCTCAGGAGAGACCAAATTCCCCGTGACTTTGAATAATTATTCAAAGTCATTCAAACTTAAAAGCTTTCCTCAAAGACATTTTTTGTCTTTTTTTGTCCCTGAGTCACAACAAATGAATCAATTTCTGTCACAGCAAAGACATTTTCAACATTTTCGAACAACAACTCAGAAAGGAAGCGCAATTTTCTTGTTGTTTGATTTATGCAAAAATTGTTTTGTTTTTTTTTTCATTGAAGAGGGCAATTTAGTGGAAACTGTGTTCTTCCCGTCAGAAGTGGTCACTGCCAGTCCTGTCAAGGACATCGCCGTTTTACCCTGCACTTAAACTAAACTAAAGGTGTGACGTCAGGGAGCAGGTAGACGCATCATTGACATTAGTAGAGACTCCGTGAATACCATGGAGCTGCCAGTGGAACACAACATGCCTCAGTGAGCCTGACACTCAATAGACACGCTGTGACAAGTATGCAAATGATATAGCCCGGAGGCAAATATGCTTCAGTGCCCAACATCAAAGACAACACACACTCGCTCACGTGTACACACACAGACGCACAGGCAAGTGCACACATTGACAGACATGCAATTAAATGCACAATTGATTGCACAAACACTGTTGCTGTGCTCAGGTGAACAGGTGTCCTCACCTGCACAAACATACGCCTACAACTGTGTAGTACTATGTACTGTACACGTTGATGTTGAGTAAACTTTTGGAAAGATGAAGATGGACAATGTACTGTTTCTAAGTCTTTGTGTTCACTGGGTTAAAAAACTTGAAAAGTATTGACCGTATAGCTTTGTTTCTTTTGCAAAAACAAAGGATTTTTTTTCAATTTCTCCTAGATTTTCTCGAGTTATCCACCGTAAATATATAATCGTTCACATTCTCCATAAGTTTTGGGGAATGTCATCTTTGCAAAGTAAAAGTTATAAGCTTTCTAAAAGTTTGGAAATTAAACTGTAGAACACAGTCACGCTGAACCCTTTATTGTTTTTCTTGTTTTTTGTTCCCGTACATTTTTTTTCTTTATTCTTATCACCTCTGCTGTCATCAAATGCAACATTACAATAATGAATAGCTAAAAGATTAATGACAGCGTTAAGAAAAAACATAACGAGGAGCCTGATGCTATAAACTACAGGTGGGAAAATTAGATGTTAGTAATTTTATTTTACACACAAAGACTTAGCTTTACTAAACAATATAACAATGAATAAACATGAAAAGTAACGTAAAAATCACAATGTTCTTGAGTTTTCAAGAAACATAAATCAAGTTCTTGTTCCTCTCTATTCCCTACATCACCCTGTTTTTTTGTTGTTGTTGTTGTTGTTGTTTTGTTTTTTTTTATTGCTCAAGTTTGTGTCTCCTTGGCGGTGTCGGCTCCCCCTAAATCAGCTTGTCTTTGTTCCTTTGGGAAACAGGACGTGAGGTCTTTCGGTCTGTTGAACTGTTATTTAGGACAGAAATGTTCCTTTCTGTATTGGTGTTGTTGACTAGCCTCTTAATTAGCATTGATAATTAGGTCTCTATGTGTCACTGTGGAGACAGGACCTGTCAGTGGCCCGTATTGATGGCTCGACCGTCCCCTTGCTTGTGTCCTTGTTAACTCCCATCCCGACTTGACAGCATTCGCCGCGTGTCTTGTCCATTTCACCACTGGGACCCTTGTTGTCTGATCATCACCTTGTCTGTCCGTCTGCCAGGATCAGGCACGAGGGACATGATGGTGAAAGTTGCTAAATGCCACCCTGACAGTAAACTGCTGCAGTAAACAAGCCATAATGTCCTCTTCACCTTTGTCTCACGTTTCCCTATCCAATCAACACCTGGTCCTTGAATCTTGACGATGACCTGCTATTGATTAGACGCTGATTTCATGCCTAATAAAATGGGAGGAAATGTTGATGAAACACACTAGTCTGTCAAAGCACAGCAAAGGAAATTGACCCCGATGTAAATGAATACAATCATTAGTGTCTTTGTTATTGGTCCAAGTCTGTTTGATACATGGCCTTGATAAGTTTCTCTGGATATTTTCTACCCCTCAACCTATTCAAATTACAGACAGCTATTTCTACAGTGGGTTTCCTGGCTCACGACCACAAACGCAAACACAGAAACACATACCAGCAGCCCTATGGTTTCCCTCGGCAACAGGCCAAAAAAGCATCAGGGCTTCACCTCTGTGTCTCCGATAATTTGTGTCCACGGATGGAGTTTTGCTTCAGAAGCTGACCGTCCATCACAAAACCTGCTGTAATAGACAGTGAGTCGTGACAAGCCAAGCTGAGAGGCCATCTGCGCATGGTGGGTTCCGGGAGATATTTGTGTCTGTGTGTGTCTGGCCAAAGAACCCAGGACTGGCACTGAGCTCTGCTGACGAACAAGAAAATATTCAAACACCAAAAACTTTCCTGAGGTCAGAATTAAATCAATAAGTCTCTTATATATATATACATACTGTATATAAAACGGTCTGTTCTTAAACTTAGTGAGGCACAGGAAGTGACAGGAAATCCTCAGCTGGTTCTAGAGAATGTCCATGGGAGTACTCCTGTACGTGTTACCTGATTGCACATCAGAAAAGTGTGCCCATAATAATGGTTAATATCAGGTTGGTTTTTCCTATATGTTGAAAGAAACAGCCAACAAAAGAAAATGCAGATTTTCAATCCGCCGCATTCCGGAACATTTCCCATCTGTGAATCTGTGGAGTTAGCTTTAAAACAGTAAATACTTTGTTGATTCTCTCATCACTTTTTACATGTTTACTAAAGCGCCATGTTTTGTATGTGTTGTCTCTACAATTATCAAACATTAGCATGGCAGTTAGCTAAACCAAGATCACATCCTGCTAGACATCAGAGTGAAAAATTTCCCTGGTGAAACACATTGAGTTTAAAGCACAGCTGTGCTTCTAGCATGGCTGCGGACTCTTATCTTGTTTAGAGCAATTATGCGCTAAGATTAGCATGGAAGTAAGAAAATAACCTCACTCTCTCCATCTGTGGTGTGTTTCAGTTTGATCAGGATCATCATCTAGCATCAGACAGACTGTGGGGCTTATCCACCAAGACACACACACACACACACACCCGAGTGCTCGCACAGCAAGTCTGGCCTGATGCAGAACTCACAGACAAACAACCAGATGGGATGTAAATATAAACTCCAGAGTCGTGTGGAGAGCGTTTCCATCAACCTGCCGGGTGAAGAATGACGTCCCGCGCAGACAAACAAATCCTCAAAGGCTGAGGTGACAGACTTGCTACAGGGGGAACCTTCTTACATATTCACAGGCGGAACCTAACAGGTGTATCCCCTGTACAGCGGGTGAATGTGTGTGTGTTGTTTGAAGTGTGACAAACTACACTAAACTACACACCTTTATCTAAAAGGTAGCCTTTAGAGAATGAATTGGTTACAAGTTTAAGGCGTTTTTTTGTATTTTTCATAGTAACCACTTTTGTAGCAAAGGTGATTTTTTTTATCAAGAAGAGGAATTGGATTGTCCAATAGTTTCATTTTCACAGGTGTGACTGATGGACAGTCCAGCAGTTGACAGGATGTATCTGAGTATCAACAAGGTAATGACAGGGGAGAGTGACAGATTGAGCCTCTGTGCTGTTCCATCATGTTCCGCTCGGGCAGGGAACAAAGGGAGCTAAACATCAATGCCTGGAGATGAGAAAAACACTTATAGCTCTTGTTCTTTGTGCGCTTGTATTTGTATACTTTTGTTAGACGGCTGCGGATCGATGGTAGAAGGTGGAATAGACAATGATGTGTCAAACAGGATGGATGGATAGAACTCAGCTCAGATTGTTTTGTCCATAATTCTCAGTAATTCAAATGCATATGTCTTTGGTCATTTTTATTATACTACTATTGGCAGCTGATTGGTATTCTGGTTCTCCTCTTCTCTGTAATGTGTACAATTGTCGCCCCAGCTTGCCCTGCAGGCCTAATGATCACAGGCTTTGCACCACCACTCCTGGATGCTCATCTACTTAGTAAAAGCAGTGAAGTTATTGATATCATCCCTAATAAAGTCAGGGACAGTTGAACAGGGGAATGATTTTCGTGCACACCTCGGAATTCAAATAAGGCTTCAGTGCATAAGTAATTACTTTTCTGTGATTCAGACCAGCGTCAAGCATCCGGTTGGAGTGAGTGAAATGCATTTGATTTAGCCTAACTAAATTCAAAACACGCCGTGTTGTACCTCCGGGATTTACGTTGCTCATTTCTCCAGGAGATTGTCTCCATTTATTTACTGTACCTCGGTGTTTGTCTCGGTGACGAATGAGAAGATTATGCAGAGCTTTGTTTGCTGTTAATAAATAATGCAAATGAAGGAAATGTAAGTAATAGTTTGAATGAGTCTTGCATTCTAAACAATTGCAAAAACAATTAGTTACTGAGACATATAGTCAAGATAAAAAAAATGTATGGATGTATGTAGGTACTGAATAGGAAAATATTTTTCTACTAAATGTGATCAGTGACTTTAATAGACAAGGTGATTGGATAAAAACAGAATGGTTTTGTCCAATTCTTTAAACATCTACTCAAACTGTTGTCGTAGACATGTTGTTTTGTTGCATGTACACGTTTTTCTTAGAAACTGATGTAAGAAATTATAGTTTTTATAGTTTTTTTAAGTACAATTACCGAAAACCGTTAATTAAAAATTAAAAAAACGTATTAGTAATGGTTATTTCTGTATATATTACATAACCAAACAACACATTAAATTATAGCAGTATTCTCTTTTCAGCACCAAAGATAATGAGCCTTAACCCTCCGCCCTCAGACATGAAACTGGGCCGAAATGTGGCTCGTACATTTCTGGATTATTACAAGCTCAACAACCTCATCAAGGACAAGAGGCCCACTCACATCCCAAGGTAAAGTAACACAAAACCATAAATAATAACTGGAAAGTAATTCACTTATCTGAACAACTCTTCACTTTAAGATATCATCCAGTGCATTTTGATTTTCCCCGCAATTTATGTTTCTGTCGTAGTCATTTATTTGTATTGCATGTCTTTGTCCCTAGTTCTGAGGTGACGTCCCAGACAGGCAATGCAAAGGGCAGTGGCATTGACAGGGACGCTGGAGACAGAGAGAGAGGGAACAACCAGGGTGTCAGGCAATAGGCAGACGGACGGACGGACACACACACTGAACATGTATAAAATGCAGAGCACCATGACAAGAGGATCCTTCACACTTCATTGCTCTTAGAATCTTCACATCTCCTTGGCAATAAAGACTTATAGTCACACATTCGTAACGGTGCGCTGACTGGTTCCTGCGGGACTGGAAACAGGATAAGTGTCCTTCTGAGTTGTTAAGTGACAATTAAATGAATTACTGGCCACCGTGAGGCTGTGGACTATAGTTCCTCATCCATTTAAAAGGATTGATGAGAAAAGAGAAAGAGTATTTAACAAACTTTGCAGAAAATAAACGTTACAGTTATTGGGTTGGTTTCCCTATCAATGCAGTTTGCCATAAAACAGTTATCTCATGGACAATTAATCATCAAAATAGAATTGTTGCTGCACTGTTTTAGGTGCACAAGCTAAGATGTTTCCCAGTTTCATTTCAGGTTTGGTACAGTTGTGAAATGTGTGAGAAAAAGAAAATTACAATTCAATGTCATTTATCAAAAAAAACTTGTCATCATTTTCATAAATGTTCATTTAAATGTCCACAAGATTTTTTCCGTTGCAGTTATCACAAATTTAGTTTTCCATGATGACCATTGAATGCTATGACTGGCCTTTAGAGTGTGAAATATTAGTGATGACTATGAATAAATTCATGCATGCTGCAGTATGTTTCTGTTAGTGATCTGTTTTTTTTCAACCATCAACAAAATATTTTGTTGTTGATTAGACTACAATCGAATTGTATTAAAGTATTCTTAAAATGTGAGTATGACATTGTATATTTCTTCATTAAGGAATAATATCTGCCAAAAATAGGATTTAAAATTGTTTTGTTTTTTTTATTTATTTTTTGTAAAATGCCATTTTAAGGGGGCAACTGACCAGGTAGGTACTGGTGTTTCATCAGTAATCAAATGTGATCATAAATGCATGTGTCAGCCTTGTCAAAGGAAATCAGACATCACAACAGACACTATTGGTAGGAAATTGTCAGAAGTAACAGAAAGTATAACAGAAGACTTGTTCTTTAGCTATCAGTTACTGTGGATTTAAAAATATATTTTATTTTTTACCAGGTTTACTGCCTTAATTCTGTAAATAGAACAATATACAGCACCATCCAGTGGTGGGTGTAAAGTCAACGTGCAATGAAACATCTGCCGTGAATGCATTTAATAAATAAACATACAGTAGAATCATAGGTCCGTAAACAAATGTTGTTTTTGTTGTTGTTTTTGTAGAGCAAACAGCACACAGACATTCTGACTCACACTTCCCGCCAGCAGGTGTCAGTAATACACCGGTTGGATGTTTGGTGACAGTCTCCTCATATGTGCAGCAGAAGAAGTCTTCTGCTTTTGGCGGCCATGACAACAAACTTGAAAAGTTTGTTGGAGTTCGATGGATGGATTCGATGGGGATGAAAAAGATTTGCCGATCTAAAGTGCGTCGAAAGTTTCTCAAATGTACGGTTTGCCTGGAAATTCAGGCGGTAAGTCTGGCTCTTGTTGTTGTAAGTTGAATTGTGTTGTAGCTTAGCAAACTGTAGCATAGCTAATATCGTGTTCGAAACTAAACAGATGAACTGCAGTTCACAACATTTGGTTTCTTTCTTCTGATATGATTAAACGTTTAAGACCGTGCTGTTGAGCGTGTACCTTTAAATATAATGTTATATCGTCGTTAATGTTTGGGTTCTCATCAAATCACGCACAGCTGAGGTTATTGTGTAGGCAGTTTTCAGACAACACGAACATTTTCAAAAGCTTGGCACAAAAACACGTAGTAAAAGCTGTCTTATTTAAACAAACACAGTAAGGAAACTGACACAAACAATAAACTTAAATCACTACTTCTTAAATCTAAGGTACAGTTTCTTTTAGAAATAATTTTCTAAATAACATTTACAGAATGAGAAGAAATTTGTATTTGTAAAGACCACAAGGGGGAAATAAAAGCTGTTAGTGAGTGATCTTAATGAGTGAGTGATAATGTCATGCTCTGATACTGTCTTGTCAGATTTTCCCACATAAAGTCAGCATAATTTAGGATATCATTGCCACCTAACCAAGCCCAAAAGTTGTATGGTAATTATTCACTTATTAAAAATACTTGGTATTTTTCTTTGATGCTATGCTGGGTTAGGTGGAGACTCCATGAATCAGACTTGTTAGTTAAGTACACCATACAGATGTTGAATTGTTGAAATCTGGGCAAACTCCCCAAACATGTTGTCTTCCTGATATCACACACACTATTAAAAACTTTTTTGAAACATTTTTGCTTTGTGCCAGGGCGCATTATTCTGCTGAATGAGGCCACAACCATCGGGGAATACCATTTTAGTGAAAGTGTGCAGAAGGTCTTCAAGTCTCTACTGACTTGCCCTCAGCTCACTGAACATCCTGATGCCATCTGTTACCAAAAGTGACTCACACAGCAGGCCATCTACATGATATAACAGAAAACTTCAGATCCATTTACCAGGCCACCTTTTATTCGTTGCGAAATACAGATACTGTAATGACCAAATGATCTATGGCTGCCTAAAATATTCCATTTGCTGACAGGTGGCATGAGATAATCAGTGTTTTTCACTTAACCTGTCCCTGGTCATAATGTTTCAGCTAATTGGTGTACGCTGTGATTTGTCTTCTAATAAAATGTCTGGCACATCATGAAAAGAAGATTAGGCACAATTTTACTTGCAAGATTGCAACAATTAGTATCATCATTTCCCAAATGATTCAAAGTGTAATTAAAATAAAATGTGAAGTGAGGAGATGGTTCTATTCAACACATTTTTCAACACTCCTATTTAAAACTTAATCTTTTTGGATTAAACCTGAACCTTTGGGATGTTGCACATTTAGGTTTCAGAAACACTGAGTAACAGTATTTTTATTACTTGATGAACCACGTGACTAGTCAACCTAAAAAAATGGTCATCATATCAATGTGCAATAACAGTACTCAGTAGTTTGGATGAATTTGGTAAAATATAAAGAACATTCCATTGTCTTTAACTTAGGTCACATGTCCAGGGGTTCTTCTGTCCAGAAAGAACTCTATCTACCTCAGTGTGTGCATCATGGGCCAATACAGGAAGACTCCCTGTCTGCCGCCTGTCTTCCCTTTACTGTTCCGCCACAAAATGGTCTTTATTAAGGTGAGATTGTTAACATTTTTAGATTAACTTTTTTATTTATTTATTTATTTATTTAGCTAAAGCCATAAGGCCTTTTAATTTTCTGACTTTTCAGAACTAAACCAAACAAATAAATAAATCAAACTAAGATTTTGTATGTTTTTTTTCTTATGTCTCAAGATTGTTAGTATTGTGTTTAAACCTTGTACAAAGTTAATGTTCTTTTTACAGTTTCTCATTCCAAGCACATAAGGGTTTTCTTGCAACAAGCATTTACAAATATTGACTTTTATTCATTGTAATATTAACAAAATTGGGGAAAAAATTCTTCTATTACGAATTTTCTTTTTCTGTAGGACTTGTTTTCCTTTTGTTGAGCTTCTTGCATTGGTGCACTCTGATTCACCTGGAAGAGCTTGACTACATAATTACCCATTTCTCTTTGCCTATTGAGAAGCTAATTAAATATCTAAGCAAGGGTTTTCTCAAATCTTGCAGATTTAAAACCAGCAACCCTCCAATGTGAATATAATCTTATTCAAATAAATCAAAAAACCTGTTTTTGTCCTCAGGGAGAGTTAGTTGTTAGTTTGCTGATGCTGTGTCCTGGTACCATATATTGTTTAAAGCATTAATTTGTGTTATAACAGAATTTCCCTGGTGCCGTTGACCCTGGTGATGTAGCTGACCTCCTGAAAGGTAAAGCTAAAGCTAATTGGGATTTGTTTTTCCTATCATAGAATGAAATTCTTTGCAATTCAAGCTTATTGACAATTGGAGGTAATGCTAATCACTAACTTAGAGCTAATGTGTGATTGTCTGTTGATTATTTTAGATGACACGACGTCTTTAGAGCTAATACAGGTCGTCCCTCCAGGTATGCTAACTGTATGCACCATTTAGTCATTACACTGTAAAGGATGGTTGACTTTGTGACTTTGTTATTCTTTATTGTTTGTTTGTGTGGGTACTGTTAGAGGGTGAAATACTGGCCACGGTGCATGAGAGCAGCAGAGACTTTTTGTACCCCAGTCCCAGTCCGAGCTCAGGAGGAAGAGAAATACTGATGAAGAAGTCCTCCAGTTTTTCTGTAAGCAGTTTTTTTTACCTTCATCTATGGATACATAGACAATTATCTGTTTATCAATACATTGACATTCTTCAAATAATCAACTCCAGACATTTAGGTACAATCGTTTTTTGTTAAGGTAGTTAGCATTTTAAGAATTCATAATTCTAATAAAAAATGACTAAATGGACGATTCATTTCTATCTCTGTTGCTGCATCGTCATGTCACAAAGATTCTATAATCAGGACAATGTAGAAAAACACAGACAATTGCTGAAAATGGATGAAAGCTGGCTCCAAATGCAATCAATTCAATTTCTTTTGCCTGCACTGAGGATTAATGTACCAAAAAAGGTTCCATCCATCAATTGCAAATATTATTCTAAATTATAGTGACTCAGCCGGCATATTGTTTGTCATGATTAGTTATATTCTTGCACATTTCACTGGAAAATGATCTGCGTGTGCGTGTTGTACACTTTGCAAATACACTGTATTGATTTTATAAAGAGTTTGTTCTAAAATAAAGTTGGCAAATAGTATTTATGAATACGTTCCCAAGCTGGAGAGAAAAACTTCGTCTGAGCTCAGACCTAGATACTTTCATTCTTTGTGTAGCAGCCCTCTGTTAATAGACAATAATCTTAATAAGTAGCATAGAATCATGGTGGTACATTGGGTTGAACTTTAAATACAATATCAAGATAGTCAAGTTTATGCACTTTTAGCACATTAGCTGTTGAGCCATTGAACAGAGATTTAATTTGACACCAGGTACAGTATGAATATAGAATTGACTTCATCTGGCATCTCAGGTCTAACTATCTGTTAAAGATAAAGACTGTCTGTTAATAAAAACGTAATGTTTGTGCTTGAACCTGTTATATACAGGTTCAAATAAATTGGCAAATTGTATATTGTAGTTTTTCATTGCACTTTAAGTTGTGTGAATTGATGATATACTTGTAGCTGCTGTGATAATTGTTTAGCATTGGTGTAACACACATCAAATCAGTAGCTGCTGCTGCCAAAGTGTGTGAGTGGAGGGAACTGGACTTTTGCACTGTAGTTCACTCGTCACAGCCGCAGATGTGTCCTAGTCCTCACCTTGTGATTTGTTTGACTGGAGGTATCGCACATGTCACACAGACTGAAGGATATTGGTGTTGTCTGAGTGAGTCTCTCGATTTCAGTGTCGCACACGACAGGCAGATACACTATCAAACTCACCATTTCAATAGCACGGCCTCGTCTTAGACAAAGTGAGGTAATTTAGTCAGACAGCATGGCATTTTCCTTGTGCACCTGTCATCTGTCTTTGCCATACACGGGGAGAAAGTAAACTAAGAGCCTCTGTGCCGTATGTCCACCTCCAGTCTTCTTATATAATTCATGTTGCTGCTCTGGCTCGTGTTCCTTCATTCCTCTCTGTGACTGCAGGTTGCTTTTCTGTGCTCCTGCTGTAACCAGCATTTTAAATTTCCTTAAACATCATTCTCCTCACAGTTGCTTTTATGTGTTTGTGTTTGAGGTCTACATAGCAATTTAGATGTCTCTCCCTCCAAATGCCATATTATTTAAACATCACTGAAGCCTTTCTCTTTGCTGCAATTTGTTTTTCTCAAGCCATGCGTAGATTGTGATTGAGTGTTGTGGTTGTAAATTGATGTACCAAACAGCCCTTTTATCTGTCCCTTTGTCTTCATCTTGCTGATCAAGGTTGTTGTGTTTGCTTTTATTGTCTCCCCCCCTCCAGGGAATCTCCCCCAAAGTGGAGTTTGCTGTGACATCAGTGATAGAAGAGAGTGATCGGACTGAAAGCTCCGCTGCCTTGTCTGTAAGCATAAACACCTATCACTGTGTATCTGACATTTATTCTCTCTAGCTTTACTTGGTTTACATCTCTCAGTGATCTAAACATTTTTAAAAAAGAATAACTTTCAGTGAAGACATTTTGAACATATTTTGTTTGAATATCTTTACCTTAAAACAATGTCAAATTTCTTCTTATGTGTCGACCAGTCATATCCGAGGACGTCACATTGCTATTATCTCTCATCAGGGTGTGAGTGTCGAACTCTGCTGAACTGACTGTTCATGTGTGGAGATGTCTAATGCATGATACTGCTCTCTATCAGATAGTTGTGTTTCAACAGAACATGCCAACCTTTTCTTGTTGCTATGGCTACTGCATCCATCTATAGTGGAAGGGTATTCACTCTCTTTGTGGATGTAATTACGTCGAGGCAGATCCGTGCTGCTGATGCCAGACTTCTTTCACATCTCTGATTAGATGGGAGTTTACACCATATCTGTCACAGAAGCAGTTTGTACATTAACTATCTCCACACACTGCCACAGCATCTTTTCAGCTGCGCCTTAAAGTTGGCTTGATTTCCGGTTTCTCTGGGCCAGGGCTTTATATTGGTTTGATGTTAAAATGAACTCCCAAAAGTCCCATTCATCATTTTGACAGGTTCCGGCAAATTAAAATGGAGCCAACCAGAGAAAGCCTGTGCCAACAAGGTCTCTTAAGGAAACTTGGTTTATGAAAAATAATGCAGCCATCTTCACATGTGCTGTTTGTCAGGCACACAGAATGTCCATATAGTGTACAGGATGTACAGGGTAATCACTTTTTTTTTTAAATGAATATAGTTTTGCATAAGTCTTACAAATGTGTCTTTATTTTTGACATGGCGTGTGAGGAAATTGGCATTAAATTTCTCAGCTTGGGATCAATAAAGTATATCTATCTTTCTATGATGTTTTACTTTAATAATCTACTTTTGAATTTTTAAATTGAAATAAATTGATTGGACATTTTACTAGTGATGGCGACCCTTAAAATCATACAAAGAAAATAGTAATTTTTCAACTTTTTCCCCTGCAAGAGAAACTAGCAATTTTAGTTTTGACCAAAATTTTAAATCCCAAGGTCAAGACTATTACACATTAAATCAAACTTCTTTTTTTCTTTTTTTTTACAGTTAAAGTATTGTTCGTATGTTGTTGTTCCGTGTTCCAGGTTTTATTAACTGTGTATTTTTAAAGGTGATGAAATGTTTTTAATTAGTTATTTGTACAGACATCATTATAAATATATGTGTATTAGAATAGTTGCCTGTAAGATTAGTGGTATGTTATTTATAAATCGAGGAGAAATGAGAGCAATCTTATCTTATCAGTATCATATGATCAGTCACCCAGCAGTTGGTATGTTAAACCAAAATCCTCCTATGCATTTCCTTGGCTGAGCTATTTGTTTAAATGGGATGTCATTCACTGCTCAGATGTGTTCTCCTGGCCCCGGGGGGGAATGTCTGGATCAGAGCATCGCGGTGGCTGTCAGACACAAGAACTTCTCCATTATCTCTTTATAATGGCTCCTCAGCACAGGCATTTCCCTCACTGTCAGCCCCCAGATAACAGAATGTTTTAGTCGATTTAGACTGAAAGAACCTTTCCACCCCCAAAATATATATATATATATTCTAATGAAAATCACTTTTATATATATGTATATATATTCTAATGAAAATCACTTTTGCTCGTTTTATGTTTTCTCGCTCTTTGATATGGCTGGGCGTTTTAAAATCCAAATGTATTTTTTTCTAACTTCTTTACAACAAAGCATTGTTCAGTGTTTGAATATCATCAGATAAAATAGCAGCTACTCACATGGAAATTCCTTCACCTTTGAGGAAAGTAGCTGGGTGATTGTCCATCAGGCGGGCAGAAAAAAAAGTCTTAACACAAAGTGTAGAACAAAGAAAGTACCGTGTCATCCTTCCATTAGATCAGACTGTTTTCAAAGAGCAGTTTTAATGAGGTTTTATTCATTATTTAGTTTTTCTTAAAATAGTTTCGATGTTCTGTGGTTCCCCCAATTAGCATTTTGATTATTCTCTTTTTCCACAGACAGGTAATGCCTCCTTGTAATATCAGACTGGAGATGGTCATCAAATGCAATTAACATTTTATCTTAACTTATTTATCCACGGCTGGCATTACCTCCAGGAACAGGGATATTGCAATGGAGAATGATGTTAGTGGCCATTAGAGTTATTGGAGTAATTCTGCAGAGGTTGTCTCCATGGCAGTACTGACTGTGAGAGCTGTTGTTGTTCCAACACTTACGCTGAGTGATTAGCTAATGGTTTAATGGTTTTGTCCAGGAAGAAAAAGGCTGTGTCCAAAGTGAGAGCAGCTGCCTTAAAGTATATGAAGAGCAATCTGAACTACTGACACAAATGTTGTGTGTTTAATATAGATTATGTACAGTATATAATTTGTAAACACTGAAATATGTGTGTATACATATATTAGTCTCTATGTAAGCATATGTATATACTGTATGCGCATAAATATATATGTATAACCTATGTGTATGTATTGTAATAGCACTCACATGTATTATCAAATTGCATTTTTTGGGAAAATCACCAAGTTGTCTTTGAAATGTAGTTAAATTTCTAATTGATCTTTTTCTAATTTTCTCATCACCAGAGCTGCTCCCTGTCTCCTGTCAAGTCACCCTTAACCCCATCCAAGAAAAGTTCATCAAAACGAAGCACACCGTCCAGACATTACTCCGGCGCAGATGATGGCAAAAGTTTTTCTTTCAACCTCGATCAAGAAAAACTGAAGAAGAACTGTATTAAAAACACTGCATTGTCACAATCATCCAGACATTTCCCTGCTTCACCCGTGCCTGGCCACCTCCACCAGAAAGATAAGACGGAGAAAAAAGATGGAAAATCTGGCTACCAGCAGCCCACGGTTTCCTCAAGGACACGGGCTCTGTCCCCTTACACACACCGAAAGATGTGCCAGCTTTCAGAGGATGCCAGGCAGAGACTCAGCCACCTCCAGCTGGGGCCTCACTATTTCACTAAAGAGACGGAGAGCCATCCACCTTTCTTGGTTAGTACCGCAGCATTAATTGCACTCATCAATCACAACAATAAAACTCTTGAAGCCTATACAAAGGCTACAATTCTAAGCAGGAAAAATACCTTAATTTTAAAGCATCAGTATTCTTTTTGTTGTGATTTTAAAAAATCTAGTAATTTGCTTTTAAAATTAGGAACCTGTTTTAATAGCCTATTGTCAAGGTTTTTGTACTGCCAGCAGTTTACAGCTTCATTATAGCTGTGGGAGAGCCTTTTGGCTTAGCTTTGTGTTTGTGATATTGATATTATATAACAGCACAGTCTACCAGAATAGAAATTTATCACACGGTGTTAATATTGGTTCCCTATGAAGCTTTCATGATTAGAAAAACGGAGAAGGTGGGAACATAAAAATCTGAGCAGGATTCATAACATTCACAAGCCCAGGAGTTGAGATTAGTAATGTAAAAGAGTCAGCTGTGGTGAAGCCAGTAATACTACACAACTATACTTCAGGCAAGTTTTGTATGTAACAAATATTTTTTGTTAAATAATTAACATCCAAGTCACAGTTGTAAACCTCAGCCCTTCATGTGCTTATAATGGAGATGGATGATATCAAAACATGAGGAGGTAGGAGGTCTGGAGAAAAACATGGGGAGAGTGTGGCACCAATCTGTTAAACTTTTTTTTTTCTTCAGGACAAGTTAGAAAGTTTATTTTTATTTTGTTAAGTCTTTGCTGTTAGGTCATTTTTGTCAATTGGCTTTTAATGTGCTTGTAAAAGATGTGTAAACTTTTAACGTAAAAGTCAGTCAGATGTTCATATATATATATTATGTTTATTATGTATTATGTATAGGTTAGCAAAACTGAAAGGGTAGCCAAAAAACAACTACTTGGAGTGAACCTTAAAGATAAAAGTTATAAAATACACAGTAGTGGCAGAATTTGATGAAAAATAATTTTAAAAAATACTCCTAGGACAAAAACACACAAATAGATACACAATATGAATTGCAGACCACATTATGTCCTTCATGTGCAGCAATTAGCCTCTGGACTAGTCCTTATAATAATAATAATAATAATAATAATAATAATAATGCTTTTTAAACTCTGTAGAGATTCTCGTTAAAAAAACAAAACACCACCACCCTTCCTGGTAAATTTAAAGTATTTATTTTTAACTGTACTGTTTTAATGGCTCATTTGCATTGAAGAAGTAAAATCTAGGAGGACCGTAAAATGAATGGACAGGAAGAACACACATCCTGCTTCCTCTGCTCCTCCTCAGTACCGCTCCCCTCTGTATCCCCATTTCTTCATTTACATTGAATGCACTCCCGAGGTGTGAATAACCAATCCACTCAGATGCTGTTTTGATTAGGTGCTGAGTTGTTTGTTTTTGTTACTGGCATTAATAGAACTCACTGGATCACGACAGAGAGTTTCATTAAAGAGAGGAGCGTGCTCTACCCACACTGGTTGTCCTGGGGGAACCTTCTGTCGACAATTAACCCTGGTAATTGAGAGTCAAGCTGCAATTAACAAATAGATACCTAATGAAGTAGCTTAGCCCCACGGTGAATGTATTATCACTGAACATTATGAAGCCTCAGCTCCTCTGTTGTTGTTCTAATATAGAATGAGGAACATTCTTTTAGACAAGCTCAGCCTTAATTCCTCATTTCAATGTTGGTGTTTGGTCTGAGACAAACTTCTCTGGTTCCCAGTGCCCATGTGTTATGCAACATAAACTATTTAAGCAGATTTTTAAATTTGATGTTTCTCAGGTGTCTCGGTGCAGCGGTGCCTCTTTTATGGAAACCTGGTGGTCTCCCCACAGTGGCAGCATCCATGATCCATCTCTGTCCTTCACTGATCAAACAGGTACTGTGGACAAGAAGCACACAACACACACACATGCTGGTAAAAAATATTTCATTTTCATATAGTACTCTCAGGTGAATAGTTTGATACTGTACAGTATATGAATATTACATACTAATCAAAATGCTTCTATATAATTACTGTTGTAATGCAATAAATAATATTGTAAGAGACTGACAGTTTAACAGCACTGTGATTAATAAATAAATAAGTGTAATCAGCCATTACTTTTGAATTGTGGTTTAACATAATCGATTTTAAATAACAAACCATGTGAACATGTGTAAACATATATTCTTTTTGTATTATACTCTTTGACACAATGCAAAGAAATCGTCTCTCTTTTTTTAACCCCAACTTGTCTTTCCTCTTTTAGATTCCTCTCTTCTTGGTTCTTACAGACCAAAGGTGACCAGCGTAAGTGCAGTTATGAAAGCTTGTACCCCACTTAGGGGTACATTGCCCCCCACTTTGGGAACCACTGCCTTAAATCAAGCTTTAAGCAAATATACTGTATGTAGTGATGAGTGATTCTCAGAATTCTGTTTGACATTAGCTGATGGAAATCAGGATCTCAGTGAATTTAAAATAAATTTAAAAAAAACTTAAAAATCTTAACCCCACTTTGTCTTTGACCTCCTCAGGTAAAATCGGATTTTGTGAAGGTCACCTCATCTGCAGAGACACAGTCCAGACAAACCCAGAGCTCTGAGAAAGACACTGACTCTGTTCTACTCCGAGCCGTGCCAAACTCCAGAAGAACCTTCGATTACAGCAGTCAGTCACAAAGAGACAGGTAAGAAGAATGTACTTCAGTCTCCATAAAATGTATTTTATTTATTTATTTGAATGTATGACACTAGCGATGTCAAACCTAATATTTGGAGGATGTTGATACAAAACGTCAGGATAATTTAGTGAATTGTTGACCTTTTTGGTAGACATTTTTACTTTCTGTTTGTAAACACAGCACATATCAGAAAGTGAAACAAAATCATTCAACTGCTTTCCACGCACAAAACAAGTTTTAATTTGTGGTTTAAAACTAACAGTATTTTTTAAAATACATACTAATTATATAATGCAATAGATAATATTACATTACTGCCACCTACTGGTTCTATTTTTTTTTTTTTGGTAAACATTTTCATCCAAACTACTGGTGAAACTTTCACGAAAACATTCCGCAGCTGTTTCATCACCTGTGAGCTTAGCTTTTTGAGCCTCAAAACCAACTCATTCTCGTCTGTTTCTGCGGTTTACCCAGAGTTTATCCTGATCCTTTGTGTAAAGCATTGGGTGTTTGCTCAAAAGATCTTAGACGCACAGGCGACACCTGTACAAGTGTCCAATTACTCTGCACAACAAATATATGGCAATCTCTGGAGACATTAGTCATACCCTGTCGCTGCTTTGTGTGTGTGCATGCATCTGCTCATACCTCATACACGTCCACTCTTTAATTTTGATCGGACCTGACAGGCAGGATGAATTTCCCTCCACCTCTTAAATTACAGGAGCTGATGTCTTGTCATGTTTGTTCATTACCGCGGTAGAAGGCCGAGAGAAAAGAAAACAAAGGGGAAAATGGTATTGATCTGTGTTTCAGTTTGAGCCTGATGCATTTGACCCGATGCATGCTTTAATACATCCACAGAGACCTTGTCATCGATCAAGGCGGCTGTGAGTTGAACACCACGACGGGTCTGATGTTCCGTTTTGTTTGTTTACCCGTTTCTGTTTTTCTTTCGCCGCTTGCCTCCGCTCAGTCCATAAGTAAACATTAAAATCAATAAGCAATCTTAAATTGCAAAGTAAATTGTAGGAAATGAATGATACTTTCCTCTCAATTGGAAACGCGACTGCAGTTGCAGGATGGGAGATTAGAGTGGGCTTTTGTAGATACCCCCCAACAAGGTAAGGGGCACGTCTTGCCACAAATCTTTGCTGTACAGAGAAAATGACAGATGCCAGTGGTGCGCTTTTCCCCTAAGTCCCAAAGTCACAGTCTGTTCATGTTTCTGGATGATTTGTCCTGGATGACTTTTTGAAGCAGGTACTGAGTTTATGTGATTATAAATAAAAGGCTTCCTTCACCACGCGGTGACAGCAGCCAGTCATAACTCCTCCACTCCCAACAAATAGACAGAAGTGAACAGTAATAAACTGCAGTATTGCCTCTCATCCACATCTGTCTGTCAGGGCAGTTTTTCCTTCATTCTCTTTACACTTTTATGTATTGTCGATAACACACCTCCATGTCTGTGGTTCTAGAGCAGTCTGTGTGTCATTCGTGACCTAAACTTGTGATGTGCGTACAGTAACTGAGATTCTGAATAGTTGAAAGTCAAACTGAACAGTTGCGCAAAAGAAACACTGGGTGTGTATGTTGTTTGTTTTTTGTCGAACATTTTAAAGCACATGCTCTGAGGTCTTCTCCTGGTTTTCTCAATGTAACTTATGTTATGTAACAGCACAGACTAGTGGACAAAAAGGAAACTTAAAAATGTTAGAGCATAATCGTTTTATAGGTTTTTGATTTTAAATTATTTGTTATATTTTTTTTTAAAAACGCAGTGTTAAAAAATATCCGTTTCAGACGTGGAAAAGCAATAAAAATAAAAGATAATTTTGAAATATGTTTTTTTAACATTTTTAGTGTTTAAATGATCCCTTAACCTTTGTTTCTTCAAATGCAATAAAAAGTCAAATCTGGCCCATCATAGCGCCACATAGAGTTACATCAGTTTTAATAATGTATTTGCTTTACATGGAGTGGATTGACTTTGATATGTCTCCTGCATTGTGATTTTATTTTCTTTACTCATTTCTTTCTTTAGTCTATGGACCAGTCTGCCCAGTCCATCCCACTGGGAGGAGATTCACAGCAGAGTCCAGAGGATCCTGCAGACACACAGACACCAAGGGTCGCAAGGTGACCTCTGACACGCTGTTCCAAGTTAAACCACGTAAATACAAGTAAGACTTTAATTACCTTTGTAAAGTTGCTGGTCAGTTTGTTTTCCTGATATTTGTCTCTTTTTACTCAAACTAAAGCGTTTAGGAACTAAGAGAAGACTGTAAAGGCTGAGTTACTGTCAATATTATACTTAACTAGTAAAAGTAGTCACCAAATGCTACAAACTAAATTATTTAAGTGAAGTCATATAATAATCTGCTATAAATTTTAAATTAAGAGCCTTGCCTTTTATTTTATGGGGGGGTGTCTGGCTTTTCTATGGGTGCATTAAACCTTATGTGCAGTTAGGATGTAATGAATAGTCAGACAGGTCCTCTGTGTCTTACCCTTTAACTCACACTGATTTTCATATTCATCTTTACTCACAGTTGGAGAAATGTCAGGTCACCTGCGGAGTCAGTTCCACAGACTGTGACTGCAGTTCGCAGAGAGGACAGGACGGAGGGGTGTAAAGATCGTTACAGTTGCCGGTTCAAACACGTGTCATTGCTTTTCCAGATAGATGTCAGTCTACAAGTAAGTTTTTCTTAAATGTTGTGAATAATATACAAAATATCCCTTTGGTTGTATTAGATTTATTTGCAGAAATGCTAAAGGCAGGCTTTGTTAAGGCTCTGGAAACAGTGTTCAAAAACTGCAGCAGAAAATGTCTTATTGTTGATCTAAGTTCAGGCAAAAATATCTAAGTATATATATATAAGTTAAGTTATTACAAATTTAGTTTTTACAAATGACAGCTTAACTTAATATTTTACTTTTAATCCTATTTCAAGTTCTTTACTCTTACATCACAACAGCGTTACTGTTGTGATGTAAGAGTTGTGATGGATTTTTTTTTATCTAAAAAGGTTTGTTTTTTGAGTGTTTTGATTTACTTTGACTCATGCTTTTGTTTTAATCACCATTAAGGAAATGTGATTTGTTGATGCCTTAGTGATTTTAATTACTCTTTTATTACAATGCACACAATTTCAACAAAATATTTAGGTCTCAAAAAAAAAAAGAAATCAGTCTCCTGTTGCTAAGCTAAAGTTCATAGCTTCTGTTTTTTTAATTGACTCAGGTCTTCAGGTCTTTCACTTTTTATGGAATTTCTTCTTCTTGTTGTTCCTCCTGCCAGCTAACTGCGCTGCTTTCTCTGTCATGATTTGTTGGTATTTCTTTTTGTTGGTCCTAGGAGGAAACGGAAATTGTTAAAATGTCTGTCTAGAAAACGCAAAGTGAAAAAAACATTCAGTTTTAGTTTGTTTTAAAGACATGTATCAAGTGTCAGTATTGCTGTTAGTGCTACATGTTATGCCCTAGTATGAAGACATTCAAAAACCCTAAAGGGAATTCAGTATTTCCCAGAATCCTGCATAGACATGATTCGTGATTACAAAGTCATCAGCAGTAGTAAGTATTGATATAAAATAATCTTCTTCTTTCCCTGGCTTGTCCAACTTTAAGTAGAGTCGCCGTTGCTGGTCATGGACCTGCAGCATTGTCGGTCGGCCGCATCCTAACGGGGGACGCCCTAGCCAGATCCGATGTCTGATGGTTGTCCATGACCACGAGGTTTTGGCGCTGGTTTTTACTGCCTGAGAGGGCATCCGGCAGTAAAAACCCACGCATAACCTCATGGTCATGGACAACCATCAGACACTGGATCTGGCTAAGTCTTCCCCCTTTAAGGTGCAGCCCACCGACAACGCTGGACATCCATGACCAGCAACGACGACCCTACTTGAAGTGGGACAAGCCAGGGAAAGAAGAAGAAGATTATTTTATATCAATTTAGACCTGGGATTAGAGCATAGTTATAACATCTAAATTGATATAAACCAACATATTCACCTCGGAGACTAACAGCACCCTCTGTTTTTATCTTTATAATTATTTCTGTTAAACTATGGAAAGAAGTGTGTTTCAAATCAATGTGACTAATCATTCATGGCCATCTCACTGTACAAATGTGCAGGTTTCTCTTTAACTTTCACAGACAGACTGGAAAAGGCAAAACTTAATGTGAGGACATCATGTGTTGCTCACGTTGCCTGTACTGTGAAGTGACCTGAAACAGTACATAGGGTGAATGGTTTGGTCTGTCTTTTCAGTGCCTTTACTTACTGTCTGAACTCGGCATCAGCCAGCAACTCTTCCACCATTGTCCTCTTCCTCTGTTTCTTGGGAATGTGGGAATGATAAAAGTCAGCAGGACTGTCCACCACAGTACCGACCTGTATCACACACAAAAAGCAATAAAGAAATAAGTATAATATATATTTTCTCTCACTGTCTCCCTCTATTAATCTATACAAATATATATACTATTTGTTGTTCAGACTGTTGTTAGCTCTAATTTAAATACCGAGGGGAAAAGGCATTGAAATAAGAATGCTTTGTGGATTTCTTCCCACAGACCTGAAAGTATTTGGGGAATCCGTCCCTGTCGTTCTTCTTGTAGAACCTCTTAGGGTCCAGGGAACCTCTCATCTTCAGGACTCTCAGGTCTCCTTTCAGTTCCTGAGTCACCTCTGGTGCTTTCATGTTAAACCAAGCTTCTCCTGTTGTTTTCTCCCTTTCAGCCTGAAAAGCAGCAACACGTGTTGGTCTTTGAGATTCTGTAAGTTTTTGTACATCCGTTAACCAAAACATCACATGGTCTAACTTACTTTGCCCTTTCTCTTTAAGGCGTATTGGGATTCCTTGTAGGGTGGCACCGCCTCCTTCTTTTGAAAGTCTGGTCCAATCACACTTTTATCCATCACCTGTGGACCATAGCACAAACGTTCAATAACTTCACTGACTTCCGTCAACACACCACTAGACTCGCACAAAAGGGCAAAGTGAAAACGAGCAAAGGAGACACCATGAATTTACTCATCTTTGCATAACTATAGTTTTCATTATTCATTCTGCATCACAGTTCACCTTCAACAGAGAGGGGGAAAAATCAATTACTTATTTACCTCATCTTGAATCTTCTTTCCCTTCACTTTTTGCAGTGAACTGGAGACAGATTTTGATTTGCTGTCACCAAAGTTGATGTATAACCCCCCAAGCTCCTTCAGTCTGATGCCAGGGTCAATGCGGCTGGACAAGGTGTCCCTGCAACAAAGTGACAGTGGGCCCATTCACATCTGACAAAGAGTATCTAAGACACAGCAACACTGTTGTTTTTCCTACCTATTTGGATCTGTTTGCATTAAATGGATGACAATTAAAGCTGCATTTGGATGGATATGTCACACTGTGTTGACAGATTTGTCGCTCACATGTTAAACACTATCTATGTGAGACAGAACGTCATTTACAACATGCAGTGTGTTTCAGGGAAATCTTTAAGGTTCACAGCACTACAAAGACCATATTTAAAACTGGTTTCAACATCTAAACTGAGTATGTATTCTAATCATCTAATCAGCAGCTCAAAGTTCAGGCTGTGGGTGCATCAAGTCTTAAGTCACTGCTAAGCCCACGTGCACATTACAAATCTGGCAGCTTAATCATGATGAATCACAATGGTAATCATTGATCACAATGATAATTAATTATTATTAATCAAGGTAAACAGTCGTTCCTACAGATAACAACAATGACGTTTTTCTGTATAATGTATGTGCACATATCAATTATGTATTAGAGCAACAAGTGACTGGACAAGGGAAATATTTGATATAGTCATTCTGCCCAGTTAAAGAGTAAAAATGTGTTAAATATTTTAGATTAATCTTAAAACAATTTATTAATGTTTTGACAGCCCTAGTTCTACATTTTCATTAGAATGAAGCCCATTCTAGCATTTAGGGGCCAAGGGCAGGGGACACCCTGGACAGCTGACCAGTCCATCACAGGGCCACAGACACACATGACCAGAGATTGAACCAGCAACCAGTGATTTTCTTACTTTAAGGTAAGAGTCCCAACCACTTTTCCAGTGGTCGCCCCAAAATTGTATTTACTTATTAAGAACAATAATAATAGATTCATTATTTAGATAATGTCTGAATTTTAGCTTGTTTTATGGTTCCTAAGGACAGATCGAGGTCATCATTTAAACCCCTCAGAATTATACTGATCTTTTTTGTTGTGATGAAAATAAGACAAATCCCTTTAAATTAATAATAAATAAATTAATAATTTCTTGCAGCTGTATTGTCTGCAATGAAATAAAATGTTTCTGATATTAAATAGTATAATTTTAACTTATTATATAACAGCAGTATAAGACCTGGAGTTTTTATTTACTCACAGCTTTTTATTTCGACTGGAGAAGAGAATTGCATCTTCATCATCGTCTTCATCATCAGCCTCCTCATCCACAAACTCGTCCTCCAGCACTTCCTGCTCGGCCTCTGTTTGTTTAGTTTCCTGCCGTGCCTCCGAGGGCCTTTCCTTGTAGTAGTCTTCATCTGCCTCTTGTCCAGGCCGTGTATCAATCATGAACAGTCCATCGACTGACGCAGCGGCTGCTTCGCCGGAGAATTCTCCCCTCCTGGACGCAACATCCTCCTGTTCTTCATCTTTAGAATCAACTATTAGCTTGTCTGCAAAGTCATCATCATCATCATCATCACTGCTGTCCAGAAGGCTGATGACGTTCTTACTCTGTACAGATGAGTCGTGTGGTGGTTGGTCAGAGCCAGAAACCACTGTGACGTCATGCTGCTGCTGCTGAGACGTCACCTGAGAGGATTCTACCTGTTCTTCACTGTTCTCAACCAGTGTGTCACTGACATCCTCCACTTTCTCCATTTTCTCCACACCCACATCAACATTAAAGGCCTGGTCTTCCTGTGAGGAGTCATCATCCACTTCAACCACCTCCATGGTGTGTCCCTCCTGTCCAGTTTTTTCAGAGGCCTCCTCATGTGTTTCTGCGTCAGGCTGACAAGGCCCTAAAGGCTCTGATGCCTCGATTATTTGCTGCATCTTCTCCAACTCAGAGGTGCTGTCGTCTTTACAATCAGGGAAAGGCTCCTCCTGCTGGCCCGTAGTCATTAATGCAGGCTCACTATCATCTTCCTTTTTTTCTTCTTTTTCATCTTCTGCCTCCATTACTGTCAAATCAACCTCCATCTCTGTGTTTTTTTCTTCTGATATTTGACTCCTATCTTCTTCCACCAGTGTGATGTCTGCATCCTCAGTGATGACTGTGTGTTCTAACCTGGAGTCGTTGAATGAACTTTCCTCTACAAGTGGCTCACTGGCTTTTTCCTGATCAAGACACAGGTTCTTAACTACTCGTCTGGTCACTCGAACATGTTGAAAGCTGTTTCCCGGGTTTGTGCGGCTGCTGCAGGGAGTTCCTTTGTCTGTAAGATCTGAGTCTGAGTCAATGACGATGACGACTCTGGACTTCCTCCCTCTGTGAGTGATGATACTATTACTGGGCCCAGACTCAAAGCCCTCAGAATCGGCAGACATGGGATCACTTAGATCAGGGGTGTTCATCGCCTTTCTTCTTGTTGCCCTTATCGGTTGACTTCTTGGGGCAGGGGAACGAGATTGTTCCGAAGCCTCATCGATGATAAAAGGTGGGAGCTCTCTTTTTCTGCGAGAGGTGGATGGAGGAACTTCAGCTCCTGAAACACTGGATATGCAGCTTTCAGCATCAGAGTCCTCCGTTTGTTCTTTAGATATGTTACGAACACTCTTCCTCTGACTTCTGGTGACTCGCCTGTATTCAGACACCGCTGAGCTACAAGAGTCGTCAACTTCGTCATCCTTGGTTTCTCCCGTCTTAGTTCCAGCAGGGCCAACCTTTCCAGAAGCTGGCTTCTTTCTTGTGCTACGGCGTGGAATCTGTTCAGTTTTTGATGCAACAGAGGAGCTGGACTCCACTTCAGGATTCACTTTGTCTTTCTGAGCAACTGAACTGGGCACTCTTCTCCTCCTGGTTTTGGTTGGAAACAGCTGTGCGTCGGACAGCACAGAGCAGCAGGACTCCGAGTCTGACACGTCAGCATCGTGGATTGAGCTCACTGGGGTACACGGATGCTCTGGACTGTGGAGTCTGGAAGCTCTAGCGCATCTTTTCACCAAGGAGGTGGGTGGAGGAGTTGAAGATCTACCTACATCTTCATCAAGCTGGCTGCTGGACTCCACTAAAGGGAGATGTGACGGACTTTCTGTCTGTTTAGCAGAACTTCTTGTTGTTCGACCAGTAGAGGGAGTGGCCTGTGGGCAAGAGGAAAATACTGAAAAACTGCAGATCAAAGGATACACTGCAATACTGGTTGAGTGGAGTAGAGACTGATTAATATACTGTATGTCAATACTGTTTGTCCCAGGACTTTACCCCCTGAATGACGCAGTTTGACACCCCTGACCTAAAGAGTGATCTTCACTACTGCCAAAACTTCAGTTGCTATGCTACTATTGGACGACGTTTCTCTTAATCTCCGTGTGGTAAATCATAGTTAGGCTCATATTTTACTCTGTTTATTAAAGTGTTGTTAGTTGGTGACTCAAAACGAGGAGAATCAGCCTAATTGGAAATAGTTTTATTTAACAATAGTCTATGTATTTACCCAAACACCAGTCAACTGAGGCAGCTGCTGCATTTAATTATAAACATGGTCACTACTTTATTTTATTATATATGATTTAGTTCCCCATTGTACTACAGTCTGTATTACTTTGATACCTGTAGAAAAAAAACATTAAAGTCTTGGTAATTTATCTGGAGCTGATTTTCCATTTTTACGCTTGTTTGGTCAGTTAAACAAAAACATTTACAGATTAGAGTTTTAAAGATTAGGATAAACCCTAATGAAACGTTTTAGCGAAACGTCCGTTTATTGCAGACATATACACAGGTTGGTAAATTATGTGTATTACTGTATTTCAACAGGAGTTAAGTTGGAATGTGAACGTTGTACAATTCATTTTATCGTGTCAGTAACAAATGAAAAGGCTCCTTTAGTTCCTAGCTATTTAAAACTCTCATTTAGAAGTTTATAAATGATTCGGCAGTTTAAACAAAATGTTCGGTGTCCACGTGTCTCCCCTCACCTGGATGTGACTCTACCCTGATGTCAATTTAACCCGGATTAAACTTTCAAACGTAATCAAATCCGGTACGTGTCATGTACGCGTGTAAACATAATCTCGGTGCCACACATACCGGGATGTCGGAGCACTCTTTAGGAGCTGTTTCGACTTCTGAGTTCGCTCGTCCTCCTCTACGGGTGGACACCATCTTGCACGCTGGTTTCGTCGAGTGTTTTACTTCCGGTGTCAGGCATAATAAGCAGTGTTGCCAGATCCTGTGAGCAAAACAAGGGACCAGACCTGAGATATATTTTTCAAAAACAGCAATATTTAACGCCAGGTATAAAATAGTAACCAAAATAAATACTCACTGACCCATAGAATGCTTATCATACTTAAACTAAACATTATGTTGAATTTCTACATAATAGAGGTCATTTTATTTACGTATTTATTGTTAACTTTTAACATAAAGATGCACATTTGGAAATGTATTGTTTATTTCTAGCATATAAAAATTGAAAACGAACACCAGTCTATTAAAATCCATAGTCATGTTTCTTCTGTTGTCTCAGTATTGGAGACATTTTCGTTTTTCACCGTATGTGTAAAAAATATCCACCTCAGCAAGTTTGCTAGTTAAGATGTTCTGACTTTCCAGTTCCATTTTTACACTGTGGCGCCTTTAAATTTCTATGCAGGGCTTTTAGGGTAATTTTTCTGGGCTTTAACAGCAGTTTGTGACTTTCTAATCGGTTTGCCAATGTTTTGCAATACTATGGCACTATGCTAAACATGATTTATCGTTGTTGTAATGCCAGTAACTATAAAGTTAGCATCATTAACAAAGACTTACTTTCTGTCTTACATCCTTGGAGGCAGCAGGTTATACCAGTTGATCGTCAGAAAAGGTTTTTTGTGCTACTTTTCACATGACTACAGATGAATACTTGACACTCCAGCTACCTGAGCATCAAGTCTGTAATCTGGCATGAACTGTAGCATACACATAACAGTACTTGATATATTTTACAGAGTACAAATATCCACTTCACTGTTTTAATCAAACCAGGCCATGACAAGGTGAACAGATATGACAGTATTATGTATGACAGTGCAGATTGTCTTTATGACATCAAAATATGTTTACAGTGCAGATTGTCTTTATGACATCAATACTACCCTGTTTGTTAGAGCACATTTCAATCAACAATAGTATTTTTCCCACAGAAATTCCCAAGACATAAATCCATGATTTCCAATGTTATGTTTGAAAATAGAGCTTTCACCTGACTTTTCTAAATTATCAACATTAATGTGCAGATTAATCAATCACTGCATTGTTAAAAGTGTTTGGTTTTTTTTTCACTTAATTGACAATTGGTTGATCAGGCAGACAGGTAGAAAATGTGAAAGTCACAATCAAAGCAGTCCATTTCACCAGTTAAAATCTAAATCTGCATAATAAAATACATTGATGTAGTTAGAGTGAAAAAAAAGTGCATGAATTGTTTTTCAATGTGTGGAATGCAAATGGTGTGGAGTACACAGCAGTAACAATAGAAACTGATAGTTTAGATAGAAATCTAGACACATTTCTAAATCTCAATCTAAAGCTAAACAAAAACACATTTTTTATCCCATGTCCCCATATATATATATATATATATAGTTTGATTAACACAGCCACAGCCACAATGGGGATTAATCATGTATGACCATTTAAAAACACCAACATGAAAAGGCACTGAGAGGCACAGGGTAAAGAGCCTTCACCTTGGATCGAAGATGTACTGTGTGTATGAGTCTATTAAAGTCACCTGTAAAAGGCTCAGCTGTCAGTGATCAGGTTATGACAAAAACCTAGGGACCGTGTCACAGTCCTGCTCTCCACAAACTGATCATGAGGTTGAAGCTGCATGGTTTTTTTTTCTGTCTCTGGCCTCACTGATGACGAGCATCTGCCTCTGTTAACTACGACAATTTGGTAATGAAAAATATGCAATTCTGTTAAAAGTAGACTTCAAGACTGGTTTCAACTGTCAGCTGACTGCTGTTGCTGCAATCATATGCGAGTGTGGATGACAATGGCTTCATCCCATTGTCCTTTCCTCCGATAGAGTTTCTAAGGGTTCACCTTCCTTGCACTGACAAGGTAGCCTTTAGACTTGATGATGCCACGGCTCTTGACGATTATGGAGTAGCGTAGGACCCACTCCAGCCTCCAGTTGGTGACGTTGAGGTCCTGTGCTCCCTCCTGCAGTGCCTGTTGGAAGGTGGCTGCTGACATCAGTTCTAAGAAAGGAAGCAAAGAGGGACCATGAGGTTCAGTGCTGGTGGTCAAATATGAATAAGGGTGGAGCTAAATGGGACTTCTTGAGAGACACCTATGTAGAGTTTAGTGTTAAATGTCACAGTAATTCTAAGCCATTAGATGATCACCCTGTGTTTACAAAATCAGACAAGTCATAAATGTACCTTTAGGATCACTGTGTGTTAGCAGCTGGATGTCGAACCCTTTCGCAAATGCAGTTAGGTCTGGAGGCATCACGCAGCATGAAGCTAGATTCACCTGGTTACTGCTAGGCTTCACCTGACCCCACGGAACAGAGTGAGAGAAAATGGTAAGTAAGAGGGTCTATGGCAAACTGTTTACAAAAGTAAGTCCAAGATTACCACCAACCTGTGCCCAGTTGTACAACTGTTCCAACAGATCTTTGTCCAGGTCAGAAGTCCCGATGGCAGCAATTTGCTGGCTCCTGACCAGGGACTCCAGCTCCTCCCAGGCCGGCTGAAGATGAGCCAATGTTAGACCGTCACCCTCGGGCAGCACCGTCGGCGCTATGATGACAGAGTCAAGCTGGGACACGGCTAAAGTCTGGCAGCCTAGGTATGAGAGACCAGAGTACTTCAAGTCTGAGGTATTGCTTAAATTTAACACACACCCTACTTGTTAAAATGTTATGACCATGGCTCTGACCTCTGAGGGTTTCTCTACAACAAACATCAACGTTTATTGATGTAATTTACATCAATTTTTAAATGTTTTTTCTGTGCAAAGTGTAGGGTGTGAAATTTTAAAAAAAGTGCACACAACAGTCCAAAAAATGTTGTTAAATTCTAATGACAGTAAATGAAGATAATAATTGTGATTAAAATTGTAATTGTTTTCCAGAACTAAATATTTATTTTTTTCAAAACATTCACATCGGTCGTATAAATGTTATCAAAGGCTCACCCATTTCCACTGCATCTCTGATCGATGACTCAACTGGCTCACACAGAAACAGTTTTGCTGCAAGAGAAAACACACAGTGTGACGTCGACCCACAAACGCACAAAGATGTTATTTATGAATCGGCCAATCACAATCACTGTTCTAACCAATTTCCTATTTCTAACCACATGTACATTAAACTCTAGAAGATGTAGCAGATCATCTACAAATGTCATGTACTTATTCACTAACCCTCAGATGTGTCTGTTATAGTAAATGGGTTGATTGACTAATGAGACTACCTTAATAACTTAAAAACTAGGTGTAATGGTGTAATATTAATTATATATATATATATATTATTATATATATATTATTATATTATATATATTACATTGTTTCACTGTTTCTGTTAGTGTGTGTGGTCTAGGTTAAGCTATACTTGCGGGGACATTTTTTTTGGAAAATGCTTGGTTTCGGAGACCCTTTGTCATTTTTCAGGTTCTGATGAAGGAGGATGGGTATTTTGTGGTTTAAGGTCTGGTTTGAAGTTAGGGTTAAAATTAAGACCAGGTTAGAGTTAGGTAGGGATTAAGATTAGTCGGCCCAAAGGCATTTCAACAGTACATCCTTATGTGTTGAAGTGGAAGACAGTGAGGTGAGGAAGCTGCTCCATGTTTGTCACTGTTACCAACAGGCAAAGACAAATATGACAAAAGAGACGCCTCCAGTTCATGAATAAACACGACAACTAAAATGACTCTGCTCCGGGGAAATAATCACCATCAGGTCTAGAGGAGATGAGTTGGTTTGTTTCCGCTCTGTCTGCGAGTTAGAGATAATGTTCTTAGAGATAAGACCAAACTGGACAGACCTGAAACTTTCACCTCCTCCCTCTCCTCAGGTGTGATTGCATCTGTGACTTGCGGGATGGAACAGTCCAACGTGTCATGAAAACCCTGCATGACAGAAAAGTACGTCATTAATGTAATTATTTTGATTCTCCCAGAACGGCTCTGTGTTCAATCCATCGTTCCAAAGAAGCCCAGTGATGAACATGGGACAAGGAGAGGCCGTGGGCTGGTAAGTATTTTTACTGTGTTTAACTCCACTGACGCCGACTGAGCAGACAGAGAAGTTTTATCAATGTTAGTTAAACGCTCATGTTTCTGGGAATCCCAGATAACAGACCAGAGGGAAGATCCTGAGAGGATTTTCCGTCATTGTCTCTAATTCCCATTAATCCCAAAATGACAGACATGGGAATGGAGCCTTTGGCAGTCAGCGCAGCATGAACATTCATCATGACACCTCCTTTTCAGTGAGGCACTCTTTCATGTCGCTCAAACTAGGTTTTAACCCCTTCAAGCCTGACACATAAAAAAATGGAATTAAATAAATTAAATTCTGGAACCGAGATATTCATATTCATATTAAAAAACTATTACATACAAAAAACATATCATAAAACATTATAACAATCTTTTTAAAAATTTTTGTTTAAGATATATTTTTGGTATATCATTTAATATATTTAGTGTTTTTTGGCAGCTTTTTGCTCATGACAAAGTTCAGTTTAGAAATTTTCCCTAACATTTTGAAAACAGAACACTTGTTTTCCACTGTACATTGGTTGACAAAATGGTTTTATAGGGTTGAGTCTACCAACCACTGGAATGTTGAAACTACCAGTTATGCAAATATTTATTTTTTAACTACACCTTACAGTAAAACAAAAAATAAGTTATTTAAACTTAACACATAAAACACTAGACAGTTCCCTTAAAAGAACAGAATTCTCATTAAGAACAACATGTGTACCTCAGACTGTGGTTTAGTCATGGACATCCATTCACTCAGTGTCGCCTGAATACAGTCCTGAAGCTGAAATGACAAATTATTAGGAAAAACATTATTAGAAAGAATTGCTTACTAGACTGTACTAAATAGGAGAAGAGCTGCTCTGCCAACTCAATGACTTTGAGCATGGAAAAAGTTCATGCAGGATTAGGTCAGTCTAGCAGTGCTAGATAGTAAACAAATGACTGATTGTCTTTTATTTATTTTCAGTTTAATTGCTGTGTGTAATTTTCACCAGAGTACTAATTGGCATTGGGGTTTTTTTTAGCTAAACCTACTCCAGTACTTTAAACTCATGAACAGTTCAATTAAACAATATTAATTAATTAATATTAAAAGTAAGAAGTGATATTGGAGAATTTTTTTAAATAGTTTTCGCATAAAAATGCGAGAAATCAGATATAAAAATGGTAAACAAGTAGAAGAAGTGATATTGGAGAATTGTTTTAAATAGTTTTCGCATAAAAATACGAGAAATCAGATATAAAAATGGTAAACCTCCTGAAGGCTGCTCTCAAGTTGACTTCCTGAGTGACTCACATGTTAAACATTTATTCCAAACATTTCCATACTTTTTTCTCCAATGTTTAATTTGCCCCCAATGTAACTCACTTAAGTATTTAAATCTGAGTAAACACATGTACATATTACATATACTCTCTATAACACATACTCTTTGACATGGGTTTAAACAGGATGTGTTGACTCAGAGTAAATGAGTACATTTATGCAGTAAAACCTCATTCCCAAGAAAGTAGAATTTCTGGAACTAACTAATTAACTAGGACAGTATGGTTTATCTGGTCATCTCTGGATGGAAAAATATATGAATTCATTTGTGACCGTAAGTTAATGTAAATGTTTATGTCCTTCAAAGAAATTAAACTGTATTTGAGAGTAAACAGTATTTCTTTTTGTTTTAAGTGTATATTTTATAGTAAATCTTGCATCCAGTTTGTTGTCCTAACCACAAAGTCCTACATAATAGGACATCAGAGAGAAACTGCTGGAGGATAATCAAACATCTCATTAGAAACAGGCAGGAAAACACCTACATAAAAAAGGTTAGAGGGGTGTTTACAACAGAAATTAAACATCCGTGTCGCTTAAATGTTTGTTTAAACAAATCGTTTTTATATGTGTTTTAAATTGTGTCCAACTAGATGTAAAATCTAATTAGTTTAAGCAAACTGTTCCGACGCTTTGGGGTATACACCACCAACGGCAATTACTGCTTTAGTTCCTAGGAAAGTTAAAATAAATAGTAAAAATAAAAAAGGCGTAAATCTGAAAAAAAAATATTATAATGACTTTTATTATAGATCTTTAAACCATGTTTTGTATTGAGAAAACCCAGTGTCTGTCATAACATCCGGTGGTTTTCAGTCATCATAGAACCATACACTTTAAATAATTTGTAAAGACAGACTGATTGACTGTGATGATATCCGGACTGACTTTAAAAAGCGAAAACGGAACTGTTTTTGTACAATTTCCATTATTTTTACTGCAGCCTTATATCGTTGTATTTGCCGCCTGACCTTCACCTATTTATCCCTGATAAACTCTGTGCTCATGTAGATAAACTATCCTTTGTCCAACTTTACCACTATGTGGTGTTAAAAACTAACAGGAGTCATCACGTATCAGTCAAATATTTACAATTTGTCCAGCTTCGTAGTAATTACAGCCAAACTTCTATACCAGTTTGCTTTCCTCAACACAGAGTTTTCTGTTTTATAATAATTTTATGAATTCCTCATTTGTGTATCTTCTAGTGTGGCTACTTTCGGTTTTCCAAATACACGAAGAGATGACTGAATATTAAGTCCCACAATCTACACTTATCCTGCAGGCTAAGCTAATAAGCTACGGCGATCTGAAACGGTCATCGTACGTTACAGTTACACAAGTGTACACAGTCCTACCTCCTCACTGGGAGAACCCGGGCACTTCTTTCTCAGGCGACTCCGATTAACCAGATTCCCGGTGTGCAGCCTGAGAGTCTTAGCGTGGGTCAACATCATGTTTGCCTCGGCGTTCACAGCAGTGTTTTGAGGATCCATGTGCTTTACCGCCAGCAGCTAAGTCACTATCAGCTAAATACACTGTTGTCACTTCGAGCAGGTGCTCAGAGTAATGCCACTACTGCGGTGCACCGGGTTGACTGGAACAGTGAAATCTCCGCAAACGATATAAACAATGGTGATGTCAGGATGACTGGCACTTTAGTGAGTGTTAAGTGCTGTTTGCTGCTTGGCTGTAGAGTGGACAAGCCGGTCGCTGCCGCCCACCGCAAAATCCGGAGAGGTTTGTGAGGCGCACTGACATGGATTCACTGCTAGTTCTCCTAACAAAACGGGCCTGGATTGACTGTCGCTGGAATGGATTTCAGCTCAGAAGAAGTGTGTCACTTCTTTCACCGCTAGATGGTGCTGTTACGTTCTTTATTTAGTTCTTCTAACCCAAGGCATCAGCACAAAACCGAAACAAAATTTTCTTTTTCAAGAAATTCATACGGGAATTCTTACCATCCGCTTACTAAAAGAATAATAAAACAAAAGATAAGACGAATGGAATTATGTAAGGATCATCTTTTAGCAGGTGAATTTGCTCAAATGTGTGGTTATCCAGATGGCGTAGAAAAGGAGCACCCATCATCATGTCAAATATATATATATATACATATATATATATATATATATATATACTTTTGTGTCTTATATATATATATATGAGACACAAATATATATACATATATATATATATATATATATATATATATACTTTTGTGTCTTATATATTTATATATGAGACACAAAAGTGTCTTCTTTGTCCTCCCGCTTCACACATAGATGTTCCAGTGCAGTAACATAAAAATAGCAACACTATTATTTCTCAGTAAATCTCATGTCTCCAGTCCTTCATGTCCTGCCTCTCTTCTTTTTGGCAGCTTCATCCTCAACATCCTGTTTGATTTACCATTTGTTCTTGGCTCTCCGACATGTTCATGTGTTTGTTCTGAGTGTTGTGGTAATTCCCCACTATCCTACATTGTTGAAACTCTTTCTCGAGAAAAGTACAGGATTTATTTTCCTTCAATGTTCTGCCATTCATTTCTTGGCGCTGCCTTCACTCTCTTCCTCTTCATTGTCCCAACTCTCATCCTACAAACTAACAGCCAATGCTGCCAACAACCACCCTCCTTTGGCACCATCTTATCATTTCTTATCTTCTTCAGGTTACATTTCCTGACAGGATACATCCCACCTTAGCTGATATGAGACCTCCTTTAGAAGTCATCCTGTCTTCCTCCTTTCTCCAAATAGTGTTTACCTCACCATTCTCTGTGTTAAACAGACATTAATTGTATCCGACACAGCCCATAATTAATTTACCTCATCTACATGGCATACTGATATGTCGGTCATATTCACTGATGTTGCAGATGCTGTTGTACTCATATTTCAACATTGATCACTGCTTAGTAATATATGTAGCTTACCGTCGCCACCTACTGTGAATCTAATTCATGACCGCCAGCTGGTAACAAAGAGAGTTGATAGAATTGAAATGTGTGCTTTTATGAAAATCCACAAAAGGGACAGAGGGATGGGTTGGGTTCGTCGGATGAGGGGCCCCAGTTGAAAATGCTTAGGGCCCCCGAAGAATTGCTTAGGGCCCCCATTTGACTAGGGGCAGCCCTGTATCCATCTTTACATCTGTGTTGACCTTTAATTTCTGTATATTTGAGATGAATACATATATATATTACATTGCTAAGAATGCACAAGACACAAGAACAGGAAAAAGATAACGACTGAGTTTGTTAGCTGCCTCTGTCATAGGACAGTAACTATTTTATGGTGATGCACAGTGAGAGTATCGGATTATTCAGAAAAATGTTCTTTATAGCACTGTGCTACGACTGTTGCCATAAAGGTGTAAAACAATCCATCTATGTGTGTTGTTGCTGAATTAAAGAAAGAGAAAGAGAATTTTAAAAATGACATGTGTGCTTCCCCTCACCATCTTAATCCCAGCCAGATTAGTGCTGCAGAGCGACCAGAAGGCGTCTCCTTTTTTACTTTGCTTTTAGCGTAATAATTGTGCAACACAATTCTGAAGTATTGAGCGTCTTAATATTACGCATTCACTCTTATTTACAGAAATTATAAACACTGTCCTGGGGTTAACATTGGAGAGTAGCTCCATTCTTTTGTTTCGTTTCACAGGAACACAGCCGTCAAACACAAAGCTCTTATAATGTTACTGAAGAATGTTTTTCTAAAACATGGACAGGAAAAATGATCCCATGAAGTCCTGACCCCAGTCCCATTCAGGACTGCTGAGACCAACCAAAACTCACCCTGTGAGCCTGACCTTGTCAACCATCATCAGTTGCCAAGTTTACTCCTGAATGGCAGGAAATTCCAGCAGCTACGTTTTCCACTTACTGGAATAGTTTTAGTACCTTAAATGATAATAATCATCAGCCACGCAAATTAGATGAGTTGTTTTTGATAATGTCTTATTATCTTTACTAATAATACATGGAAAACAGCGTTTTTTTGTGGTGTTGATGAAAAGATGTAGAAATAAATACATTCATTAACAAACGTCAACTCTCAGTGATTTATATATATGTATGGTTCTTTATATATATATATAAATATATACATATATATACATATGTACATACACACACACACATATATATATATATATAATATATATATTTATATATATGTTTTGTGGTTAGGATAGGATTGTGGTAGGATTTTAAATGTACTCAGAAGGTACCGGTGCTGAAGAGCTGTAGGATTTTGCCCTGTGGGAACTGGAGGTATCATACTTCAACTCAGCAATTGTAAAAGTGCGTTTTGACATGCCAGAGAAGGTGGGGGGTGTGGTAAAGGAGGCGTTCATGTTGGGGGGGTGGGCTGGTTCAGTGTGTACTATAAGAGCCAAACCGAGCTGTGCTGGATACAGGTTTGGTTTTCTCACCAGAACTTCTTGAGAAATCTTGAATGTGAGTAGGTCTGTTTCTCCGCATGCTAACTGAACGGTTCCCAGCTGATAATTCATAGTCTTTCAGACATTTGTATTGTGTACATGCATAGAGAATCTAACCTCAGTGTTTACTTTAATTTGATACTTAAATAAGTGAAAACGAGCAGCAAGCTGAATTTATCACAAACCTGATTTGGACAGCATTCCAAGTGTCTGAGATGAAACAGCTCCTCACAGATGTGAACCAGACAGGGTTTTAAAAACCAGGGGTGAACGACACAGTCGGGCTGATGTTTGTTGTCCTGTTGATTTACTGACTGTTTGTTTCTCTGCAGTGTGCCATACGAGGACAGCAGCAGCAGCAGCAGCAGCAGCAACGACGACGACCATGAAGTTTCAAGCTCTTTTCTTCCTCTTGCTTCTTACCTGCATGTCCCTGAGTCTGGCACAAGGTAAGAGAGATAAGTCATACAGAACTGTGATGCTCTAATTTAGAACTGGAACTTGTTAGCTCTAGTTTTAAAAAGGTGGTGATGTACACAAAGTTGTCATTTATTAATTTGATTATTTACAGCTATAACTTTTTAGAATATATATAGATTAAATGGAATTTTAGTTAAATAAAACTAAAATATAAATAAAGTTATAAAATATAAAATAAATTAGTTTAATATAAAGTTAAATAAGGTTAAATGACATTTTTTTAGTTTTCTTTTTTTTTTTTTTTGGAGTTGGTAATCATTGCTGTCATTGCTACAAAAATATTTATTTTGGAGTTGTTTTTTATCTGTCTAATGATGCTTAGCTGTAGAAATGTGAATCTACTCATGGACCTTCCTTACAAAAGATGAAGTCTTTTTCTTTTCCTGTTGAAGGCCGACAAAAAAATGGATCTGTGACAAAGTTAAACTAAGTTGTAATTATTTGGACCCCATCCAGAGTCCGCAGTGCTGTCCCATGGAGACATGTCGAGATAATTCATCTTTGGCTTACACTATAGCTTCATGTTTTTTTTGTTGTTTTTTTTTTTTTTTTTACAGAGTTCTACGGTAACTGCTGTCTTGGGCATGTAAAACCAATGAAAATAAAGGGAAAAAGAATCGAAAGTTACAGGATGCAGGAAACAGACGGTGATTGCCACATCAGTGCCGTTGTGTAAGTGATGAATGTTATGTTTCTCATCGTTGGCCTGTACTGTGCAAGATTGTTTAAACTCCTGTAATTTGGAAAAAGCAAAATACACAAGATAAATAACAAGATAAAAGATAAAAACACCCCGAGAAGTGATTGTTACAAAGTTCCACCTGCACTTCCACCCTGCTAACTACTATATTTAAATCACTGGTTCCTGACATTTTTTTAGCTTGTGACCTCATTTTGACATCACAAATGTCTGGCGACCCCGAGAGGTTTTTAATCATAATTTAAAAAAATAAATCAAATATATATATATATTAGATATAAATTTAAAAAATTTAAAACAGTATTTTCTTTATCAATTAAACATTTCAGGAGACCTCATTTGAATTCATATGTGGAGTCCCGACCCTGAGGTTGAAAACCACTGATCTAAAAGCCCTAAAATCTTCTTAAAATCCTTGTATTTGCAGGTTCCTGATTAAGAAAAAGCCTTCCCATGTGAAACAGAAGACTATCTGCGCCAATCCACAGGAAGCATGGGTCCAGGAACTGATGGCAGCAGTGGACAGCAGAAACCCAAAGAACTGAGTAAAACGTTTCCACAATAAACTCCTTTATGCTCACCAGGTAATTTAGGTAACTATGTTAATTCCTCATCATAAAATATTGTCTAGAGAGAAAGAGGAGTGGAAGGAAGGATGAGGAGGGAGAGTGACTCCTTCACCTCCCGGTCAGGATCATATATCCCCCTAGACCAGATGGATTACATTTGACCAGATTAGCTGTTTCCTGACATACCAAGCATATCGTATAGGCAGTTAACGTAAAGAATAACTACACAGTACCATTTAGCCAAAGGTATGTGCAGTCTGGCTATAATAAATATATAAGAACTATATGTTTTACATTGCTCACATGGTATTCATTAAACGCAGCCCACTCTAGTAATGGACCACTATTAGGCAGCTTTGTAATGTACGTAGTATTTAGCAGAGTGTATGAATGGACTTTATGCCAGTAAACTGTTTTTTGTTTTTTTTTACAAAATACATTTTCATATTTTTGCTTTTTCATATAAACAGTAATTTGTGTAAAAATAAAGAGGCAACTTAAATAAAATGGTCTTCTGTAACTGTCTTCTGCAGCGGTTAACAAAAGACAACAAGGCAAAAAAATATATAAATTATTTTTTAATTTGTGCGACAGATGGAGAAACTGCAATTTGATTTCTTTTGATCAATGGGGGGGGGGCTGGAAAACAGTCCTGGACCAGGGAAAGTTTGAAAAACACAATCACACTACTTCTATGTACGACGTTATACTTGGCTCACATGGAGGTTTGGACATCCTCCATCAATGTTTCTGGTCTGGAACACTTCAGTCTGGACTTCAAGATAATTATCTCAAAGGGAATGATAAAGAGCTACTCCTCACAGAATTACAACTGAAGTTCTGTGTATTTGTTCATATATCTTGATAACACCTTAAACATTGGATTTACAAGTTGCTTACACTGTTGTTGTCAGTCCACCTGGCTGCTCCAAGGCCTCGTGTTGACTCAGTGGTTTATAATATATATGCTATGGTTTATTATATATATATATATATATACACAAATAACCAGAGATTAGTTAAACAAGAGTATTAAAACAGGGAGGAGCTCAGAAGTTAGACTGAAAAAAGGAACATCCAAACAGTTTTCTGGATGGTTACAGTTTTTTATAATTCACTGTTCTCAGCCACTGAACCATGAAGATGATCAACTGCTGCTTTCTGGGGATCATTAGTTCTTTGTTGATGTTCTTTGGTGTGAAGAACAAGGATAATAGCTTGGCCAACTGTGGAGGGTATGTTTTTGATCATGGGATGGTTTTCTTCAACATCTCCAGGCATTTTTTGGATATAAGATATTTGTTTCAACACTTTGTTTAACTTCTTTGTAGTGTTGTTTTGCTCCCAGCCTCTGTTGAGCTCATCCCAAACCTGGTCCATATGTCATTTTAAGTCTGCAGATAACGCTGATCATCCATCATGTGGTGCCACTGGTCTGCTTTACTACCTCTGCTGTGGGAGGAGGCACTAACTGACCTCCCTGTAAAAGTGACTTATATTCTTCAACCCAATTCAAAAGCAAAACACTCTTTAACACATTGAAATTCTTGGAGGACAAACCTTTGAAAGTGTGTATTCAAAACGTTATTCTTTTCCAGTGCTACAACATAACTCTCTTGCTCCGTGTGTATTTGTTATGTGCCACAAACAGAGAAAATCTTTATTTAATGAACTGTAGAACAGATTCACTTAAATAAATAATTGTCATTCATTTTGTTTAAAAGACAAAGTGGAAACTTCCATTATATTGAACATAGTTTTCACAGCTCGAAATATAATTTCAGTGTTTATACACTGAAAATAAAGCCCACTTTCTTAAATTAATGAAACAGGGACAGAGAAGACAGAGCATTGGTGTATTGTGGGTAACACATCTGTCCTACTGTAGAAATTTCTCTTTATCCACTAATTGTAATTTAACTGCAGATTGGGCCACTCGGATGTTGTGTCTGGGCCTTATTTGATCACCATTTGAATACATAGTTTGTATGTGGTGTAAAAAAATGCATTTTTCCATTTAAATAAAACAAAGAAATTATAGGCACTGTTACACTTTATGCTCTGAGTGGTGACCACAATGTCAAACTTGTGCCATTTAATCATTAAACCTTTGATCGCCTGATTATAAATAATTTACTTTGGTCAAAACAAACAAACATGTTTAGCCCGTGGTGCCCTGTTTGTTACTGGAAAAGCAAGCAAACATTGACGCTGTATAAACTCTAAAAGAAATGCATCCAGCTGTTCAGAAATTGCCCACATCAACCCTAAAGCACAGACATTCACATCAGATAACACTGGAGGAGTTTGTGGTTCATACCTAAAGTTCAGACTCCTATCAGGCTAACTCAAGTCTCTCTCATTATCTGCCCCTGCCCACACAGTGTGTCCACACACTGGAGTTAACAGCCGGTTTATTAAAGAGACTCTGTGTTTATTGTAAATTATAAAGATAATCAGAATCTCAGCAGGAGGCGTGTTCACACTGTCAGAATGGGTACACGCTGATGTAAACACTGACAGTTGGATCACACACATTCTAACCCTGAGAGGAATTCACATGTCCAACAACGTTGGATCCGTTGCTCCTAGTAGAAAGAAGCCAGAGGTTTGGCAACAGTAGCAAAGAGTACAGGTGTTTGTTTATAATCTTGTTATGTCTACTGATGTGTGAAGTAATTATCACCATTTAGGTCTTCAAGTCTACTGATGTGTAAAGTAATTATCACCATTTAGGTCTTCAATCAAAATTGCACTTATCACCCAGAAGATCTAAAACAAAGTTCCAAAATAAAACCTTTAGTTTGAGATGTATTTTAATGTGACAGTGTGTCCTCCAGTATTTGAAATCCAACATATTTCTTGCCCTCTGAATACAAGCATAAGGAACATGATAAACATTTTTGTGCTCTCACTTTATATAAACATTATATCAGTTTGAACTCAAGAGGTGTTTAAAATCAATTTAAAAAAAACTGTGGACATGTTTTGTCCTCTGTCTTCTGCTCTGACCACATGTGGCCATGATTTGATTTTATGGCATGACAAGTTTTTAGCACACACAGTCTCGTGTTTCGTTCCTGTTGGAGTAAGCCTGTTCTCATGGATTCACTGGGACGACATGAACTGTGACCCTGGTTCAGTTCAGCATATTCATGTTCTCACTAAGACGGACTGAAAGCTGTGACTGATGGAAGGTTTCCCTCACGCAGACTGTCGGTGAACGGAAAGGAACGGCTAATTACACAAGTGAACAACTCAAGTCCTTGATGACATTCAGTGCATCCACTATTCAAAACATGGCCTCAGTGTATGTGTGTGGGTGTGTGGGTGTGTGTGGGTGCACGTCAGTGAATTGCACAATAGAAGTTAAACACCAACAAATGTCCACATCTGTTTGTGATAAAGTGTCTCTGTGGCCCTCATGTTGTCCAGTTATGTTTTATTACAGAACAGCACAGACAGCAGAGGGAGACTGTTGGTCCATGGACACTGCACACCACTTCCTCAGACCATTGACTTCAGGTTGAAGAGCTGAACAGCCTACACCCTCCACCGACTTCCTCTTCTGAACTCGATGGAGCAGGATGCGGTAGGTCCCCGTCAGCGGGCTCCTACAGTCTGAACAGGGATTGTTTTCTAAATGAAATGTGACAATACCTAAGTCTAAAAACAAACTCTTCACCTCCTGCTCTTCTGCACTGAGGGACAGTCCAGCCTGGACAAAGTGGGCTGGAGATACAGGCAGTAGGACATATGGTTGGGGGTACTCCATCTCCTTCAACCAGGCACTGTTTACAATCTGTGTGAGGGAGGAGCGGTCAGCAGGCACAGGCCGCAGCATGCCTTTAATGACTGCCTGGCAGGAATCCGGCACAAAGGACGGAATACTGTACGAGCCCTGAAGGATGCAGCGCTTCAGCCGTCCAAGGTTGTCTCCTGAGAAGGGCAGAGTGGCTGTAGCTATGAAGTACAGGAGAATACCCAAGGCCCAAATGTCTGAATAGAATCCAACATAGCCTTTCTCTTTGAACAGTTCTGGAGCAGCGTAAGGCGGAGAGCCACAGAAGTTAGTCAGGAGCTCCCCAGGACGGCTCTCCGTGCTGAAGCCAAAATCCCCGACCTTGATGCAGTAGCTGGTGGTGTAAAATATGTTCTCAGCCTTCAGGTCCCTGTGGACGATGTTGCTGTCATGCTGCAGTGTCACACAGAAGAGACTTGCCTCCATTAGTCAATACGTGTACGTCTGCACTAGATGTTAGTCTTTAATACATTTGAAGACTATATTTTCTATTGTAAGGTTAAGGAAATATAAACAAAATATTTTTCATAATATACTTTTACAGGACTTTTCTTTCAGCTTGTTTCATTGCAGTGGAATTTCCTCTTAAAACATATCTAATTGTTTCGTTTTCAAGTAAACAAGAAATTGTTCTTGTTTTGCAGTGAAATTGGAAACAGTCGACAATTTTCATCACCACATTTCAGAGAAAAAAAACTGAGCTACATTACACAAACTAACCCCCCTTTACTTTATGATTTTATTATGTCATATACATTATAAATATATACTGTCTGATCAGTATAAAACATATAAAACAAATAATACATATAAAACAAATGAGCTCAGAAAGTGTCACTAATAGAATATCCTTGATTTAAATAAGACATATTTATATGACATCAACCTTACACTTAACACTGGGTCTGTGTCAGTACAAGCCCATTACAAATTTTTATGCCTAAACTGGCTGCTAAAAACCCCAATGTTAACCCTGTGTAAATCATGAATATAAATCCACAGACCAACTGCTGTCAAGCAGATTATGAAGATCTACAGTAGCGTGACACCTGGACTCACCATGTGCTTCACAGCAGAGATGACTTGCGCAAACACGAGCTTGGTTTCCAGGTCGTTCAACTTCCCCCTGGTGGTGATTCGGGAGAACAGGTCTCCACCGCTGCCGTACTCCATCACCAGATAGAGTTTCCTGCTGGTCTCTATCACCTCATAGAGACGCACAATGTTGGGGTGACACAGCTTCTCCATGCAGCCGATCTCTGAAGAGGTGGAAGGTTGGTTCTTCTTCTCTTCACGTGTTTTGTCCAGTATTTTGACAGCTACTCTCTCTGAGACAGAACAAGGCAGCGGCTTAGACAGATGTATACCACTGTTACAGCACTGTTAAAATAGAAGGTTGATGGAGTGTTGCTAAAGTGTGACAGCAAACAAATAAAAAAGACATTCTCTGTAGGGGTCAAGGAAGCTGTGGAGGTCAATTCTCAGCCTTTAGGAATTAAAAATAACAACTTGCAATAAACTTCAAGTGCAAGTGTAAACATCTGACTATTTCACCTTTAGTCAAAGCATGGATGCCCAGCCTCACGGTAGAAAAGTTCCCCTGTCCGATCTCTCCACGCAGCTCATAAAAGCCGACCCTTCGACCAAGCATGAGGTCGTTGCAAATCTTCTCGTTGTGGGACATGTCATAGATGACCCTCTCAAATGGTGACTGTCTCTCCCTCTCTGACTCAGTCAGCTTTGGTAAGGCACAGGTGCCAGCAGAGGTCAGCGGCTTTGTCGTCGAACCCACTTTTGTGGCCTCGTCTTTGTTGTTTTTGCCTGTTTTTTGCTTCGGCCACAGCCACACCTTGTTCGCTTCAAAAGAAAAAAAAACGTGCAGCTCATATAAAAGAAACACTAGCAGAAAATAACTCCAAATACAACTTGGAACTAACTTCAAATAATTATTGCTAAATAAATTGGATTTTAAAAAAAGATATTATATATATATATTACTGCTATGTTACTGTAACTGCACTGTCCTCTCTGTTTGTCTAAATTTAGATGCTCAGTTGTTAGACAACACAAGATTACTACTTTTAAGTACAGTATTAGTGGGTCAGTACTTACTGCAGGGTTCTATTTATAGGAAACAGGCTGTCTGAACTGTTTTTTGTTTCATTTTTAAAATACTAACTACAATTTGTTTTACAATTTACACTTTCTTAACTGTAGACTCAATTCTATTCTCTTGAAATATATTAATTAAAAATTCCATTTCTCAAACAAGCATAAAGAGGTTTATTATACTTGTTGGACATTGTTATCACAATTGTGTTCATTCATTTATTTAAATAGATAAGAAGTTTATACTGTAATATCTGAGAAATATCCAACCTAAATACATTGAAATTTAGCTTAAAAACTTTAGTGTAAATGTAATGTAATGGACAAATTTTCCATTATAATAAAATACACTTTACAATGTTAAGTCGGCAGAGGAGATGTTCTATTTTATGCAATTATATTCTGTTCAGTAATATACCGATAATGTGGTGATGTCATTAAATTATTTTCTGTACAAAGTGTAAATATTCTACATTCTAGAACTATTTTTTAGCTGATTTAAATTTTACCTGCTTTCTGTGGGTCCTTCATACCTCTTCCTGTGGAAGTAGAACCTGACTGTGACTCAATGAAGCCTCATCAGCACTAATTCACTCCTCACAATCCTATTAACAGTGTATTATTGGACTGGTCGTTAAGTACTCAAGAGATTCAATAGAAGACTCGTTACAAAAATAGCACACAAAAAAACAATTGTGAAGTTAATTTATACCCTTCTTCTGACATATTTTCTTGGTCAATATTTTATTTGTACCAAAATGCTTTTCAAATATACACACATTTTTTTGTCCTGAATTGATGAGATTCAACGTCATCTGTGCTGATTGGTTGGTAAACGATGTTCTCTTGAGTGACCAATCAGAAACAAGTTACTGCTGGGTTTCCTCCTTCATGAGAACATGTAGTGATTGGCGTTACTTCTAGCCTATAGCTGCGCAGTAATATGTACCGTCCAATCAGAGACGAGGATTAGTTGGCGGGAGAAGAAAGAGGCGGGGCGTCTGGCAGCTTGTCCCCTGTTAGGAAGGGCGGAAACACATGCTGCTCTTCCTCCGCTAATGTTATTGTCATGTGCGAGGTGCGGCTAATAAGCTTTTTTTGCTAATGTGTAATAATATATCAGCCTAACGTTTTACATGGCTACAACGTCTGTCACACCCACGGAGCTCGACCGTGACCGGTGCGGGAGTGAGGAGGAGAACCACGGGGTCGAGACGGAGGAGAGCAGCCAGCCGCACAGCGCAGGCCCAGCTACGGCCGTCAACAGCGGCCACAGCCGTATTTCCAAACTGCCGCTGGCCCGCATCAAGGCGCTGATGAAAACCGATCCAGACGTGTCCTTAGCCAGCCAGGAGTCTGTGTTCATCATCGCCAAAGCCACGGTAATTATTTTAGTTTCACGGTACTGGAGTGAAGAAGCTTGTTAAAGTGTAATTTATTGCGGCAAAACAAACACATTACGTCGATCGCATTGGGCTAAAAGCCAAGGATATAAGTCAAATAATTATTATTGTCATAACGATTAAATATAACGATAATTTCTAGTGCCATTCTTGAAGTTCTTAATAGTCTTGATTACTCAATCGATAAACGTTTAGACAAGGTCGGGATTGAAAACCTTAAAATTACAAAGGACATTGATTGGTGAACTTCTAAAAAGATCAAATGACTTTTATGACGTTTTCTTTTACAGTGTTGTCTCAAATAACAGATCAAAATTCTTTTCATGTCTAGGAGTTGTTTGTTGAGATGATCGCCAAGGATGCCCTGGTCTACGCTCAGCAGGGGAAGAGGAAAACATTGCAAAGAAAAGACTTGGGTAAGCTGTGTCCAGGTATTCTTTAATGTTTAGGTTACCCGTGGTTTAGGAATGATTTCAGAAATCACTTATTACTGTGATTCAATGTTCTTGACAGTCCGTGCTTTATAATAATTATATATTGATTTGTGCCTGTAGTTGTGAATGTATTTAACATTTTCTCTCTTCACAGGGATTAGAAAATCCTTGAACCGACTGTTTTATGACAGATTTGTAACACTTGTTTCTTCTTTTATCCTTAACAGACAATGCAATCGAGGCCATAGATGAATTTGCATTTCTTGAAGGTGAGGAAAAACAAAGTTAATACATTTATGCAAAAATATGGATGTGGGTTTCAGGAGGCCAAACGGTGTAGGCCTCTTCTGTGGGATCCAACATGGACTCTATAGACAAACACACTCTGTCAACCTTTACAATTTGGGTCACTTGTAGTTGAATACTTTTTTTTTTTCAGGCACACTTGATTAAAGGCTGCCTTTGGAGACCAGTGGGAAAACTGAGATTTGCAGCTGCCCAAGGAACTGTTGACCATCAGAGACTTCAAATTTATGGAAAACTGCCCAGTACTTTTCTAACCCAGTATTTGTCTCTCAGTTCCCCTGATGCTGTTTCTAAATAATTTTCCACAAGGTACCAGTAAGACTTCTTTTTGTACTTTAAATACATGAGTGATGTACATTATTTTGTAAATATTTGAATAAGACGGAACAATGGAATAAATCTAAAGTTTTTTAAATGTTCTGTTTCTCTCTGAGTTTTGCTAAAATATTTATTTTTAATTTTAAAGAGTTTCTATGCACTATTAATAAAAATTAGCTAATTAAATTTTACTCTAAAGGGTTGTGTTTATTACAGCGGTTATATTTGTTTATTAAATAGTTGAAGCAGGATTTCTTTGTAGTTTGGAGACAAAAATTAGGACAGGTTACTCTATGGTGAAACATTTGTATAACCTTCAGTGTCCACATGGAGGAGACAAGCTGCAGACATAACTGGGGCACAGTCGAGGTGTTGTACAGGGCTTTTTAACCTTTTCTTGGTTCCATAGTGTAGCGGTTAGCACGCCTCAGAAGCAGATAGCAGAGAGTCCTGAGTTTGATTCCGAGAGAAACCACCACCTTCCAGGGGCAGCCAGTAAATCTGCTGTTAACAAGAATTTCCCAAATATGGAATCAATAAACCTTAAATTAAATATTATTGTTAGTTTAGAATCTCTGTCCATGGTGCTGATTCTTGGATGCCTGCGGTCCAGATATTATTGTAATGAGTTACAGAAACACATCAGCATTTACTTTAACCTGCAGCTGTTTGATCACAGGTGGCAAATCAATTTGATATAAGTACTTTTTGTCAACCTTTAGAGCAGTTTAAATTAGATATACTGTATGTGTGATGCAAATGGTGAGGCTAAAATATAAAGGTAAAAATTAATTCTCAGTATGTTGGTTTGCAAGAGGAATGTATCTGAATGTCTTCTGCCCCAGATGTTTTTTTTTCCTCTAGGAAGAATTTGTGAAACACTTCCAGAATGCTCCGTGTTAAACTCTACGTGCAGACAGCCTTTTGAATCTTAGCTGTGGGGATTTTTAAAATATATGTCCGAGTGTGTAAAAGCTGATTTTCTGGGTTCAGTGTTTCTGGCAGTGTGCTTAGCACAGATGTTTGGTTTGAGAGGAGTACCAGTCGCCTCCCTACAGAGGAATTCCTGACTGGCACTAAGGAATAAGGATTTCTAATAACAACGTTATCACAAGTCAGGAGACATAACATTTGTTATTTTCATCCTCAAAAAGACATTCTTTTAGGAAATTATTTTTTGTCCAAAGCAGAACATGTTTTTCAAAGAAAATCCAAGTTTAATGAGCTCTGATCTTTTTAAGAAGATTTAATAGAATAACATTTAATATTCTGAATACAAACATTCTAATTTTAAATGGTACAAGGGCAGTCAAGTTATTTTTTGATAGGGAATAAGCAATTATTTTTCATTAGATTAGATTGAAGTTTACTGATTTTAAATTTGTTGTATGACAGTAACAAGGAATGGATGTTGAAAAAAACGACTTTTAAAAACGTAATATTAGCAGTACCAGTAAAGTAAAAAAAAAAAGAAGATGATTCACTTTTTAGTACCAGTAAAGTAAAAAAAAAAAAAAGAAGACGATTCACTTTTGCCCTTAAGGGTTTTTAAAATGTATCTTCCATTGTTTTATTTGTTTGTTTGTTTATTTATTAATTATAGAAGAAATCTCCAGCGGATCCAGACTCAGTGTTCAACCATCGGCCTCGGCAAAGAGACAAAGGTGAAAAATGTGTTTGACTGCATCACAGACAAGCCAGAGTTCTATAAGAACCCAGAAGGTGTCTGGTTGTTAAATGTTCATTGACTCTCCTCAGGTACAAACAAAATATGACATTTAACTGAATTTTACCTAATTTTATTTCACTGATCTTTTTCTGTGACAGAATTTTATACATCTTGGGTTTTTCCACCATGCGTTATTACCTACTGATAAAAACTGTAAAAACCACCAGGCACCACTTTACTGTAACCTCTCGTACTACTGCACATCCTGGTTTTTCTTACAGATAATTGAAATATGTTTTCCAGCATATCTTTCTGATAAGATTCAACAGCAGACTGTTTTTATTTATTAAAACTACCAACAGAAAGCATAACTCAAAGGAACACAGAAGTTTCACCATCGTTCAACACGAGAGCTAACATCCAAAGCCAGATGTATTCCACGTAGTTCTGAACCCTGGGATATGAACTTTAGCAAAGAATAAACGTCATCTGTTTAATTTATCCCTCTCTTCAGTCAAGATAAAAACCTTGACATTTCCTTTGAATGATTACATAATACTTGTGCTGCACTCAAAGGTTTTTCCTTGTAGATTACAGACTATGACCTACACAATCGAAGACCTCTGTTGTTAGTCATTTTCTTCGGTGAGTTTATCTCAGCGTCACGCTGCAGCCAGATACACGATTCTTTATGTCAATGGAAAAGTGTATTGTCATTTTTGGTTTGTTTTGTTCAAAAGAGTAGAGTTAGTGTGGGGATTTATCATCTGAGTTCACAGACTAATCTGTGTTAAGCAACCCTCCCACCCCCTTGCATCAGTCAAACTGTTCAAAGTTCAACCACTTGCTTTCAGCACTAAAAGAGCTGCTGAGTATAAACATCTCTGACAAAAACTATCTGTCCCAAATTTGGATAAATAGACCCTAAAAAAAAAAAGGTGGTTCCCAAAACCTTTACTACAGCGCCCCCATGACAGGTAGAGCTATTGCAGCAAATCTCCACTATACTTTATTTAAAACAATGTAATTCCTCCTTGATCAAAGGAAATAAAATCTCAGTATAATTATCAGTTCACTGGGGAGCAATTAATATAAATATTGAAATTGAAATCTATTTGTTGACTGTTTCGTGGGTGCAATAGCTCCATGCCCACTAAATGGGCCCCGCTCCTCAGTTTGACAATGTCAAAAAGCAGACATAAAAACAATTGTTCTCAGTTGTTCTAATGATTTCCAAACACCAGTAAATGTTGTGTTAATGCCTTTACAGCGTTACATCATCTGTGAATCTGGCAAACTAAATCAGAACTTTGATGAACCATTCTTTTGGTTTTGACATCTTCATTATTTTGTTTCTGTACCACGGATCAAGGCCACATTAATTTTCCAGATAATCAAGTCATGATGTCATGATGTCATGATGATTCTGATAAAGAGTCCCTCAAATTCTCAGGCCTCCAGCTCATTCTTTTGGTTTTCATCTAAAAAAACCAAAGTAACAATTTAACGTGATTCATGAGCCAACAGGGAGCGCCAAAAAGACATATTAGCAACATATTTGACATCTGACTCACTTTACTGACGAAGTATAATAAGGCAAACCATGAGAAGAAAAATGAATTACATATTCACTGCCAGGCGGTATTCAAATGTGTATACATAAGATGGAATTTTTAAATGTGTTGCTAAAATGTTTATAAAATATAGTGTAAATGCATATAACATTAGTGCCAGTAGTAACCTCTATATAATAATATAATATATAAACCTCTGAGACAGAACCCTGTGGAACACCACATGTGGTTTTTTTTTTGTTTTTTGTTGATGTTTTATTGATTACTCTTGCCATGAAATGATTGGACGACTGATTTTGATTAATGGGCCACGCTTTAGCTTTATGCTGGGAGAGACATTGAACATCTCTACCTTATGGTATTGACAACAGATCATAGGAACAGGGTTTACGAGTCTGGACCTGTGCTGAGGAGAGAGAGGGAATTCATATTTGATAAAGTTTGTTAAGATCATAATCAACTGGAATGATAAAAAAAAGAGGAAAACTCCAGTAAAGATTTGTGGTGAAGACATGAAGGAAGTTGGTGCAAAGTTGGTGAAAAGAACATTTCATCCTCTCTCTGGTTGGTTAAACTTTAACCAAACCAAAGAACCAAAGAAGAAAAACAATACATTGTTTGGTGATTTAGTGATGAATTGGTGTTTGGTGATGAATTGCGATCATTAGTTTAAC